GGCTGGGTTCCCTGCTCTGGGTATCACAATGGGGCTATCAGGGTGTGGGTCTGGCTGAATGCTTGGAGGCTTTTGGGGGAAAATCCACTTCCGGGCTCAGTCTTATTGTGATAGAACCTAGTTCCTTATGACTGTAGGACTGAGGTCCCCAATCCCTAGTTTGCTGCTGGCAGGAGTCTCTCTCAGCCCCTAGGGGCCGCCCACCTTCCTGGACACATGACCCCCCTCCGTCTCCAAGCCAGCATGGGCACTTCACATACTTCCTGTGCCCCTGACCTCTGAGCCCTCTGTGTGCAGCCGCATGTGATTAGGTAAGGCCCACCTGACACTGTCCCTATATTGAGGTCACTGGTGCTATAGGACACAGCACGATCATGAAGCACTCTCTCCTCATGGTTCCAGTCCTGGGGACTAGGCTGGACATGTGCACCAGGGGGCACAGAAACTTGGGGCATTCCAGAGTCCTGCCTGCCTCAGGGATGTCGCCAAGCCCAGAGCCCAGCCTCCTCGTGCATTGTCCAGTGAGGAAACAAGTCATCCTTTCCTCCTTGTGTGGTTGGATACTGGAGCAAATGTTTCCAGCAGTGGGATTCTTGAGAATTGCTCCCTACTGATTATCTTAGGACTTCAAAGAAACCGCTTATGAAATGTTAAAATATTAATAGAACAGTTCTTCAAGACAGATAGTCATTATAATTCATCAAAGGCATCAACGCTTAAAGAAAACACTGAGCAAAGCATTAGTTGGACTTCTCCAGAGAAACAGAACCAATAGGATGTGTATATAAAGAGATTTATTTGAAGGAATTGGCTCACATGATTATGCAGCCTGGCAAGTCCAAAATCTGCAGGGTGGTCCAGCAGGTTGGAGACCCAGTTCACATCCAAAGGCTTTCTGCTGGAGAAATCCCTCTTGCTTTGGGGAGGTCAGTCTTTGTTCTTTTAAGGCCTTCCACTGATTAGATGAGGCCCACCCACTTTATGGAGGGCAATCTGCTTTACTCAAAATCTACTGAGCTGAATATTAACCTCATCCAAAAAAACACCCTCAACAAAAACATCCAGGATGATGTGTGACCAAGTATCTGTGTACTGTGGCCGACCTACCTTGACACATAAAATTCACCATCACACACATTATACCAACGCTTTTTGCAAAATGGGAGAAGGAGGCAACTTAGTCATTGTGTTATCCTTTGCTTATTTTATTTCCAAAAAGGATTTGGAGCCACCAGCAAATTAATTAGCAAAATCACCTTTCTACTTAGAATACTTTTGACTTAGATTGAAATAAGACTTCTTCACTAGACTTGGAGAATCCAGAGTCCTTTGCTGTCTGCCAAGTTCTTATAATACATACAGATCCCCTCCTGGCAATGAATATTTTAATTATTTTCCTAATGAAAACATGCTGATTTGTATATCTTGCCATCTCAAACTGACCGCAAAAAAAGAAAAAACAATTGAAACAATTCATTGGAAAATGTGGTTCTTTACAGTATAATAAGGAAATAAATTTGCTGTAAGTAAAACCAAACTGACTTTTTGAATAGATATTGATAGGGAAGACATAGTAACAGGTTTTTTGGATTAGGTTTGAATTAATCAAGGTTTCAAACATTGTAAAGATTTGACATTTTAAAACGTAGAGTTTTTTTTGTTTTTGTTTTTGTTTTTAGTAATTCATCTTTTTCAGGATAGAAGCAACAGATCTTTAATGTCAAAGTTATTACGGATCAATGTTCCTTTGTGTGTTATCCGGTCTCTGTGAATCCTGGAATCCCATAGAAGTTCTTGCTGGTCTCTTTCCACAATATCCTTATACCACCTGTGTTTTCTGTGCCCTGTCTCCCCCGCATCCATCTTAGAGTCAGCAAGCATCCTGGTGAGGGCGGGTTGGGGGGGGGGGTGGTGTTAGTGACAAGAATTCAGAGAACAGAGCAGGTAGATCCCCCGCCCCACAGGCTCAATGCCCCGGGAGGTGGGCTTGGCCAGAGGAGAGCCAGAGAGGAAGAGGCCGGCCTGGGCATGGAGCCAGGCCAAGGGCACCTATGCCCCCCACAGAACTAACAGAACCTACATGGGGAGTCCTTCCATCTCTGGGGACCCTCTCCCTCTGGCTGTTTTGTGCTGCCTCATCTTAACTACGTGGAGGATCTTTAAAACACCTCTCAAGATTGAGATCTTTCTTTCCCGCACCCTGTACACACATCATTACCTGGAACATTCTCCCACTATGATTCTTACGTTTCCTCGAGGGAACGAACTATGTTTTATTCCCATCAGTGTCTTCAGAAAAAATCAGGACTAACTGTTCTGTTTAACAAATAAATGTGGAAAAGAAGGAATCTTTTTAGAACTTTAAATAACAATTGAAAATTTCATTGTGCATCACACACTATGCTCTCTCCCTCAGGGGATGAAGTAAATGCCCCAGCAGGAACCGTAAAGTCCCACAGGGAATAAAATCTGCACACCTGTGATATGGGAGGATACACGGGAGATGTGGAGAAGCCACATCTAAGTAGATCTTACGTTAATGACCTTTCTTAGGTTGGTTGGGCACGGAAAGCCGATTAATGGCATCTTAAGGATGTCCACCTCCTAACTCCATGTTCCTGACAAACAGTCTTTGTAGAGTTAATTACGGTTGTGATCTTATAACACAGGGATTTTCCTGGATTGCCTAAATGGGCCCTAGCTAATCACATGAGCCCCCAGAAGCAGAGAATTTTCTCTGGCTGGAATCAGAAGGGAAAGGCGGCAGAAGGGAAGTGAGAAAGATTCCCAGTGTGAGAAGGGTTCCCTGGCCGCCTGGGGCTCTGAGATGGAGGGCCACGTGCTGAGACTAGAGAGAGGCCTCCAGGAGCCGAGTGGCCTCAGCGGACAGCTGGCAAAGGAACAGGACTTCAGTCCTACAACCGCGAGGAACTGGGTTCTGTCCCAACCTGAACAATCCTGGAAGGAGAGCCTGCCCTGAAGGCACCAGAAGGGCACACAGCCTGGCCCACACCTTGTTTCAGCCCAGGGAGACCCAGCAGAGGCCAGCCGAGCCAACCTAGACTTCTGTCCCATAGAACTGTGAGATAATGAATACGTGTTGCCTTGAGTCACTAAATCTACCGTATCTTACAGGAGCAGAAGAAAACTTAATACATTGGGACACGTGGAATGCAGACTCAGTTGTAAAGGGGCGGAGGGGATGATGAGGTGGGGGAGGCTAGTGGCCAGCAGAAGGGAGAGTATGATCTCTAAATGGAATTGACAGCTCAAGGAGAGCAGGCATTGCAATGAGAGGGGACGGTGGCCCCCCAAAGCACATCATCGCCCTCCCCCAGGGACCCCAAATGGAGGAAAGGTGAGATGGCTCCTATAGGGCAGTTCTTGAAAGTTAAGTACTACCAACACCGATGTTGCAAGGCAAAAGTGGCTCAGACGTTCTGTCTAAACTTCTGCCCACTGCTCTGGCACCCACTATCTTCAAGGAACAACACGAATGCCACCATGGTATGTACAGAAACAAGGATTTGTACTGTCCGAATAATTGGCGCAATATAGCGTGAAACAGTCCTTGCCATGCATGGGAAGCCAACATACCTGGAGCAGAAAGGAACTTGGAAATTGCCAAAGGAGCACCATGAGAAATCAAGACCACCTACCCAGGGAGCAGACTGATGTTATCATTTATTTTTTAAGTTTTTTTCCTTAAACCTTTTTTTTTTTTTTGAAGAAGAAGATTGGCCCTGAGCTAACATCTGTTGCCAATCTTTCTCTTTTTTTTCTCCCCAAAGCCCCAGTACATAGTTGCATATCCTAGTAATAAGTCATTCTAGTTCTTCTATGTGGGATAATGCCTCAGCATGGCTTGATGAGCGGTGTATAGGTCCGTGCCCAGGATCCGAACCCCTGAACCCCAGGCCACTGAAGCAGAGCACATAAACTTACCCACTCCACCACAGGGCTGGCCCCAGATATTATCATTTATATTCTTTACAAAGAAGAGGTTTTCACTGACACAATTAGTCTGTTGAGTAATTGCACAAGGAACAGAAAAATAGTCTAAGAACTTACAGGAGACAGGTGCTGTACTAGCCTCATTTTACACACGAGGAAACTGAGGCACGGATGGCTAAGTCAGTATATATGCTCCGCTGGTCAGCTGCCTCCAGGGCCCAAGCTGTCACCTGCCCCCTGACCAACGCACACAGAAAAGCACTAAGTGCCCTTGGAGGTAATAAAATAAAATCTTTTAAAAAGCATTCTATAATTCAGACTGTTTCGTTCAACGGTCAACAGTCCCAGCAAGCTTTCTCTCAACCCAAAATTCGCCTGAATCACCCACCCCGTTTGCATGCTCGCTGTGTGGTGGGAGAGCAATGGCTTCAGAAGCAAAAGACAAGGAGTGAAGTCAAGCTGGTCCCCACTCCTAAAATCACAACAATAATCCTTTGGGGACATGAAACTAAATAACGAGGTGGTGCAGCCTTTGTACATAATGGCGTGGATATTCGGTGGTTTGTGGTTACTAGCGAGGAATGTAGAACGTCAACGTGCCGGAGCCAACGACCCCAAGGGTGGCTTTCTTTAAAGAACACTCTGAACAGCCTCTAGAAATCTTCTCTCCCATCCCTCCTCCTCTCGGAGGACACAGGCACACACACACACACACACACACACACACATCCATCCAACCTCCCTCCATCGCGCATTACCATTAGATTGTCTGAGGAGGGGGCGCATCCCCAGTTGCAATTCCAAACGCTAGTGACCTGGGAGCGGAGTTGCAGCCACCAGAAAGGTTTGCATTTTTCACCCTGAGTTCAGAGAGGCCAGGTTCCTAGGCAATCAAACAGCAGACAAACAGCAAACACGGACACTCAGTGTCTACTTACATTCAGGCTCCGAGTCCTCAGCCATCGCCTCCTCCCCAGCGCAGCTCCTGGCTGAGGCCGCGAGTTACTGAGGAGACAGACAAACATTCTAAGTCCCTCCCCACGGTGTTCCTCTGCTGCTGGGCAACCAGGACAGGCAGCTCCTGCCACGGAATCTTTCCTCTGATCCTCACCGTCTTATGCCTCTCACCGTCTTGAACAGTGAGTACTAGGTTTGCTGGCTTGTTTTCCTTTTTAAAAGAGAACACTTTTTGTGATTTGAAAAACACCGAAATTCCCTTGCTCTCTCTGATTCTTTTCCAAAGCCTAGGGAGCAAAAGGTAACTGGTCTTTGGTTGGGCATCTTCTATAGAGATGTGCAGATTGAACAGTGCACAACCCATCCAACTGTACCGAGTTCTAGCAAATAGGAGGCGCCAGTCACTAAATTATCATGTAATAATTTTAGTGTCATTATCCATGAATTTCCCAGTAGGAAATTGAGATCATGTGAGGTTAAGTAACTTGCCCAAAATCAGTGATTGAGGAGAAGAAGAGTGGAAATGCACATTTGACTGCAAAGTCTGTGCCCTTTCCTCTGTCTATCCCATGTGGGAGGAAAAAGATAAAAACCTCTAAGTTTCCCATCTTTGAAAACTGCAATTCTATTGAAATTTCTTCCAGCCAGAGAGAACTTGAGTGTCGTGGAATGATGACTCGGTTGTTCTCAGGAGAACTCTGAGCAGCGCTGGCTACTTACCGGCTCTGAAAAGAGGAAGGTGACAATACTTAGCCATGGAGTTTTGAGGATAGAGTTACATGGTGTCTGTGAAAGTTCCAGGGCACATGGTATTTTTCTTCTATTTCCACTGACGCTGGTCAGACACTTTAAATGTGAGCATTTTGGAAACCATGAAGTTGCCATGACCCCAGCATGCTCAGATGGCTCCATAATTAGGTGTATTTGAATTTGACCTGGAAGAAGATCGCAAAAGTGATAACTGATTTTCACAGTATTTAGGTATCTAACCACAACTAGAAATGTTGGCCTGAAAATGCCCACATCACACAAGGATATCTGAGGACGGACCCGGGAGAGGAAATGCTTTGTTTCCCACCTTCAGTTAATTATAAATTAAAATCAAATGTGTGCAGCCCAGTTTGTGATATAATTCACTATTGGAGATGAAACAACCAGACTTTCTGCTCAGTATTGCTTGGTGATTTAGGAAAAGGGCTTATTATTCTTACAGGTTGTAGAACGTCCCTTTGTTCCCACTCTGTGCAGGCAGGTAGACAGATGGCAGACGTACCCTTCACTCCTCCTCCACAGACCAGCTAAAGGGACAGGCCCCTGGCCTCCGTGGAGATGTCAGGGAAAGTGTGGGTCCCCGAGCCTTCGGGCTTCAGCCCTCCTACCGCTCGCTGGCAGAAGAACGGATTTATTTCATTTCACGTGGTATTTTAGAGTCTTGGTTTAGATCATCAAGAAAATAACGTATTTGTTCCCAAGGCCTAAGTTTCTCCCAAGTCATCCCACAGTTAAATTAATCCACCCCTTATCGGCCAAAGATCAGGAAGTCAGTGGTCAAATCAATATCAAGCCTTATAAATCCACTGTGACTCGCCAATCGCTAGATATTTCAACAAAGTCTTCGGCGCAGAAACATGTTTAATTATGTTATGAGTGCATTGAACTGACCTGCCAAAAACACGTGAGATCTTCCTTGAGGTCAGGCATCTACTGTGGGAACCACCAAGGACTGCTCGCCCTACAAATTCGTTACTATGTACCTGTACCTATTCGCATTATGCTATTTTTGTTTTTCATCGCTAGATGGCGCAGGAACACATCTTAAAACATTTAACTGACCTGCTGATGAAACTGACTCTACCTCCCAACTAATTTGTCCACACACCTTTCATCCCACCCCGCATTCAAAAAGAAAAAAAAGAAGTATTGTCTGCTCTTATCACTTTGCTAAGAGTGCAGAAATGCACGATTTATTCCCTGCTTTAAAGATGCTCAGGAGAGAGGAGAGACAACTTACGAGTAAGAAGCAGTGGGATGAACGCAGAGAAGGCGGGAGCAAACTGGCCCCGAGGATGGAGGGAGGGGCGGGGAGGCCTCCGGAGGACCCCACGTTTGAGGTGCCCCGAAGATTGAGCGGCAGGATTTCCTTGTCATCAAAGAGGGGAGGAGTCTCATGCATGGTCAGAACAACTAATGGATTGGAAAGGTAATCGGTCCAAAATAAACGTTTCCAGTCGCTGATTTTTCAGCTATTAGAATTTGTGCAAAAATGGACAAAGTTGAAACGACTGTTTAAACATCTTTGTGCTTTCCAAGCTCTGGAGGTATGAAAAAGAATGACAGGTTTCAGCACTTCACCGAAATTAGACCCCAGCCTGGCAGGAAGACGTGGGAAGCGTGGGAATGCTGGGAGCGGCAGATGTGCACAGAGGCAGGATCCGACGGGATTTCAATTTGCTGCTGCAGACAGCAGGGGTTATTGAAAGATTTTAGAGGCGAGAGAGATCACAAATTTCCAGAAAAGTAACTCTGTGGCTACCTATAATTTTTTTTTTTTTTTTTTTGAGGAAGATGTGGCTACCTCTAGCAGACGGTGAATGGGGGCAGTAGTAAGAGTCAAGAACTGCATTTCCAGTTCTACGCACTTCAATGATGGATGCCTGCAATTACACCCTAAATTCTCCTCCCTCGCTCTCGATAGAGTGGAAGAAAAGTCTCTCCAAGGCCAAAAGTGTCAGAGGTTCTCCGATCCCCTGTCCTCTAGCCTTTTCAGGGTCCCCATCCCATGGGCTACTCTTTCCCCCTCCCCTCCCTTCCCACTTCTTTCTCTCTCTCGCCATCTGATGGAATATATCCATGAAAAGAAATGTGCTCTTTTTTTCCCATCTTAAAAATATATAAAACTCAAAACCTTTGCTTTGACCCTACATCTCTCTAAGGCAAAGGCACCCTCACATTTACTGGATGCGCAGGGACGAGTCAGAGAACATCACAGCGGACATATTTGACCTGCCTTCCCAGGGTGGAAGACCGAGAGAAGCCGGAGTTGGATCTCCGGCCCTGGGGCGCTGTCTTCTCGCATCTCCAACCTTCTCGTGTGTAGCCTTGATTTTGCCCTAAGGATGCTTTCCTGCAATAGAACTTTATTTTTAAGCGGCATTTGGGGACAAAATAACTACAAGACTCAAAATGGTTGAAAATGGATGAAGAAAATGGTACAGAAAGAGGGCCCCTTCCCCAGAAGGACCCCCAGGGCTCTTCCTCACCCACCTCCTCCTCAAGTTTCCTCTTCCTCCTCCTCAGGGAGTAAACCTTCCTTACATTTGTACATGAAAATGGCATTTCTTTACTGTCGTTTACTACATATCTAAAATTGTTTCCAATATTCCATCGAAATGTTTTTTCAACTGTGCAAATTGCTGTCTTGGGTCACGATGGAGGACGTTATGATTCGCCATTAAAAACAATGAAAATAATTTTGGTGTAATGGCTTTTAACCTAACAGCATGGTTTTCCAGAAGAATTTAAGGCATTAAGTGAAAGGTAGGAGGGTAATGAAAACGCCCCCTGCCAGCATCCTCAGAGCTTCTCGTTATTCTCCTCAAAGACAAACCACATCACGTTCCTTGTGTCACCTCCACAGACAGGCCATCCACAGATGGGAAAATACACATGGAACCTCTCCATCCCTTCCTGACACAGGTGATAGCCTGCTACTCACTCGTTCCTCCACCTGGACTCATTGTCTTCAAAAAACATCTCAGAAATCATTCCATGCCAGTACATAAAGAGCGAGCTGACTTTCTAAATAGCTCCATAGTGTTCCATTTTGCGGCTGTATTGCAATCTATACAATCGACAGACCCTGCACGGACACTTATGCTGTTTCTACTCTTTTGTTAGTAAACTCCACCGCTTGCCTTTGGGTTATTTCACAGGTGTGAGAATATGCAGGTAAATAGGAGGAGGGGCTGAGTCCAAGGCTTTTCACCCAGCGAGTGTTGATACATCTCACCGAGTTGTGCTTCAAGGAGGCTGGACCAGTTCTCCAGTTCCAGCAACAACGAGGGTGGGTGGTCCCCCTCACCGCCAGGTAGGTGTCATCCATCAGTATGTTGCCACACATCTGATCATTGCCAATTAGGTGGAAAGAGAGGGAAAATCCACAATTAAACTGTGAAGGAAATAAGGTGAAATAATAATTTTTAAAGGTAGTGGTGAGTCTTACGGTTTTAGATCAGATGATCAGGCCACTATTGGTTTCCTTTTGCTGCTGTAAAAGTAACCACAAACTTAGGAGCTTAAAAGAATGAGGATTTATCATCTTACACTTCCATAGTTCAGAAGTCTGAAATGGATCTCAGTGGACAAAGTCAAGATGCCAGCAGGGCTGCCAGAGAGAGTCCAGAAAGCTCTCTTCTTTGCCTTTGCCAGGCTCCACAGCATCCTGTGCTCCTCGGCCCCCAGCCCCTTCCCCCATCTTCAAAGGGAGCAACAGCTGGTGGAGTCTTTCTCTCTTCACAGGTGCTCTTCTGCCTCCTCCCCCAATTACAAAGACCCTCATGATTACACTGGGCCCACCTGGACGATGCAGGCTACATATGCTCGCTCTCTTAAGGTCAGCTGATTTTTAGCAGCCTTCATTCCATCTGTCACCTCACCTCCCCTCTGTGGTGTAACCTGACATCTTCATCTGCTCTGGGCAGTAGGTCATGGACCTCTTTTGAGGGCCATTATTCTGCCAACTGCAGCCTCCCAGAGGAGGTGACACTTGGGCTGAGACCAGACGTGCCACGCACAGAGCCAGGGAAGGAGAGTTCTGACATCAGGAGCAATGAGTGGATGGCTGAGGAGCCCAGCTAGAGATGAAGGACAGACTCCCTCTAGATTCGTCTCTGATGTGATGGTGGAGGTAAGGCGGTAGCTGGAGTGGAGGACTGTAGATTGTTGCTGGTTTGGGGCTTGTTGGGTTTGATTTGTTTGATTTTTTATGATTGGATAGATTTGAACACGTTTAAGGAACGAAGACAGTTTATTAGGAAATGTTGAAAATCTGCGAATTGGGAGCATTCAATTCCACGACCTAGTACTTGTCTAAAAGGCCCATGAAACCAGCCAAAGGGAAGCTGGGGCAGACGGGGAAAGGAATCTTCTGTCCTTGCAGAAAACAAAGCAAAACCAGGCATCTACTCCATCTAGTTCACCAGACATTTTCAGTGATCCCAAATTAATGTAATTCTTAAGAAAAGTACAAATAAAAGTGAGCCATGTGGCTCCCACGTGGGAGGCTGAGGAGCTGGTGCTGTTAAGGCATAAAACTCTTTCCAGAATGGCTTTTTGAGAAAACAGAGACCTGGTATTATGGCCTTTTAATTTCCCCAGCCCGTGGCACCAGCAAGTGCAAACACCGGGTGACGTCGCTGAGCTTTCAGCGCAAACACGGCAGCCGGCCATTCATCTCAAGTCAAACCTACGGCTGTGGGACAAGGGGACATGTGCCTCTCCAGCACCTGTTTTAAAAATGCTTGGCGTTGCTGATTACTTCCTGTTTCTGGACGATCCTCAGCCTTGTTTGTATGTTCATTCAGAATAGAGTTGCTCACATTTAAAACAAATGATAGTGGGAGGCCTGTTAGTACCTGAATACAAAGATAGAAGGAAGTGACAGTTACACCGCCTGGCTGGGACGTGTCTGCCCTCCCACTTTGACGAGCGTTAGAAATAAGGCAGAGTTTTCCTTGTGGATCTGAGAGCGGGCATGCTTCCTCGAGAAGGCAGATTTGGCAGTCATCGAGGTGTAAATGTGAAGGAGAGGAGAGTTCTGTGTTTTGTCAATGGGTATTTTCCTGGCCGTGTGGCAGAGATGAGGATCTTTCTCCTGAGGTGATGGTTGGTGGGGGGAGGGGAAGCAGGAAACACTTACTCTAATAAGAAATCAAGCCAGAGTTTGTCAATATAGGGAAAAACATGTCTAAGTGATATTTTTAAAGTTATAGACGGAAGTATGGTTACTGATGCTAGCCTTCTGCAGACAGGAGTCAAGCTGGTCCCCAGCCTGCCGAGCAGGACGCAGGACGCAGACCGAGATGCTCCAACCCCCTCTGGACTTACGAGCTACATGACGTGGACGCTCCATCTCTGTGCCTGTTCACTTTCTTCTCGACGCTGCACAATGGGACCCACTCTCCTCAACTGACCTCTGACAAATATTCTGAGAATATACCGAGAAGAGTCTACACCCAACGCCTGGAGGAGTTTGAGGATCCTCCTCAATTCTTTCTTTCTAGCAGGCTCCAAAACAATTTAATCACCAACTTTCTCTTTTTTCGAGGTACGGCTCTGATTACGCAACATGCTTTGAGAAATGCCGAATTAGTTTTATTGCCTTTATAAAGCATCTTTGTCCTTAAATGAAATGGCACCAACATGTGTTTCTTTTTTGGAAGGATCGTGGGATAATTTACAGCAATATAATTTTATTTTGTTTATAACAAATGCCTTAGTATGTGTGTGTGCACGTGTGTGTGTGTGTGTTAGGGTTCTCCAGAGAAACAGAACCAATGGGTTATATACCTATATACACATACACATACATATATGTGCGTATATTCCATTGGTCCCGTTTCTCTGGAGAGCTCTAATACACCTGGGTTGACCCAGACGGACTGTGCATGTTAAAAGGCCATTGTACAGGAGTAGCTCTTTTATTCTGAAAGAAAAGCAACTCTCACAAAGGGAATCTTGACAATTCCCCTAGTGAGGACCTTGGTTGTTGATAATAGCACCTCGTGGTGATTCCTGAGCACTGTGAGGCGTAGACTGACTTGTTAAGTATATAGCAAAGTCCATGACACTCTCGGGCCATTGCGTAGGTATCAGTTTCAAATGACCCTTGTAAAGTCAGGTTAGAGAAATCTCTAAACCATTGGAACCATGGATGTGAGGCCAAGAACAGGCTATATTGGTACAGCAAACACGCATTCCACTGGCCCTGAATTCAGTGAAAAACTGTATTTTTCTAGAACTGTATTTCATTTGCCTTGAATTCCTAATTTGTCCAACGTAGGAAACTTTCATTAAATCACATTCAAGTAAATTCTCCTAAACCGACTGCGTCCTCCATTCCTTCAGGTTTTAAATGGGTCAAATTAGAAGCCTTTCTCCCATGCTCATTTCCCACCTGAGTTCTGGGTGTGGCTGAGGGGCGTTTGGGATGACTGGGGTGGGTGTTGTGACGTGGACTTGGGAGCAAGGAGTAGGTAAGGTCTCTCATGGTGCTGCATTGCCCACATGGGCTACAGTTGCAATGTCCTTGCTGGTTCTTGACCTCCGCCACCTGTCCTCAGTGGTGTCCCTGAGCCAGTCTCTTTTTCTATGGGCTGGTGTTCACTGAGGCAGGGTGACCCTATTCATCCCCCAACCACACAGCATGTGCTGCCATCCAAAACTACAGCCGCATGTCAAGACCAACGTTCCCTCTGGGTTGCTTGTTCTCTGGCTCACCCTTTGCAAACAGCTACTGGAGTGAGGCGCATTTCATGACAGCACAGTGCTAAAGCATGAGTCTCTGGACCTCAGCTGGTCTGCTTTCTTATTTTTCTAGCTACTTAATTTCTTGAGTTTCATTTCTCTTAAGATATAACATGCGTAATTCAGGGGCCAGCCCAGTGGTGCAGCAGTTAAGGTCGTGCGCTCCACTTTGGCAACCCCCAATTCACAGGTTAGGATCCCAGGCACCTGAATAATGCTTATCAAGCTATGCAGTGGCAGGCATCCCACATATAAAAGGGGAAGATGGGAATGGCTGTTAGCTCAGGGACACTTTTCCTCAGCAAAAAAAAAAAAAAAAAAAAAGAGGATAGGCAGTGGACATCAGCTCAGAGCTAATCTTCCTCAAAACAAACAAATATATATAACATGCATAATTCAGAGAATTGTTGTGAGGATTGAGTCGGTACAAGTAGAGTGCCTGACAAAATAGTAAGTGCTCAATATATGCTGATGTCTATTATTTCAATGTGGGTGAGGTACAGCATTTCAGCCATATCCCCATAATACTGGCGATCAGTGGGAACGCATTCAGGAGGGAGCATGTCACTGAATGGGAGGAACATAGATTCTCAAACACAGGAGATAACATTGGAGCTTCTAAGGATGAGCTGACTAAGCAGAAAACAGAGAGTGAGGTTATGCCAGAAGAAAGCATCTCATGTGGCATATTCATGAAAAGACAAGGATGCTCCAAAAACAGATGTGCATTCCATGTGACTGAGCCATAGGACACAGGAGAGGAACCCAGAGCCCCAGTGATGAACTTTAACAATTCATTCTGCAGTAAGTGCGTGCCCAGCAGAAGGTCACTGGCAAATTTCTAAGGGGAGAAATGTCAAGAATAGTCAGGTTTCTAAGCCAATTTACGTATGTTTTAAAATTTTAAAAAGACTAGGTTGAGCATAAGGAGGTAAGATAGCTTTCTTTAAATAATTGAAAGCTCGTCAGATAAAAGAGGAAGTCGACTTATTCATGTGGCTACTGGTACAGAGCTGTGGCTTGGAATCGAAATTACAAAACTACAGAGTTCAGGACTTCAGACGGAACATTCTGGCAACTAGACCTGTCAAACAATGGTCTGGCTTACAATATGATAGTGTCCTCCAGCCCTGGAATATGAAGTCGGATGACCATCTATCAGAAAGGACAAGCATGCAATGCTGTGTTGCTGGTGGAAGGTTGAACCAATGACCTCTAAGTCCCACGCCCAAGTCATGATTTCACACGGACAAAATTCAATTACCCAGAAGGCTTAGGAAACAGAGTGTTTGATACATGGCTTTTTTAGTTAATGCAAGATCAAGCAGGCAAATGTTATTTCCTCAATGTATATTAATATATTCATGTGTCATAGTTATTCTGTATGTTAAAATGTTTGAATCTTTTTTTTTCTAATGGCTGAGCATTTACCAGGCTCTAAAGGCATCCTTTTGACCAAAAGTCCTACCTAACTAGTGACACAGATATCAGAGAGGCTAGATGTTATCTGAAGGTATACAATTACCAAGTAAAAATTTGGAAGTTGATGTCTCAAATAAATTCCTGATTTTATTATCTAGTCATTTTCCTTTCCTTATGCAGCATCAATTAACGAAAGGTCTAAATCTGTCGTGCAATGGGTGGGAGACCCCTCTTTGATTTTTGATGGCGAGAGGAGGGTGTGGGGAGGGGAGGACAGGAGAGAATGCAAGGAACAGCGCTTCTGCTTGGTTTCTGCTTCATCAGGCTTAGTTTAATGAGAATAGCATCAATTGTGTAGTATTCGGAAAATTTTTAAAAATTGTCTTGTTCGATGTGTGAGATTTTCGGTCTATAAATGTGTAGTTTCCCTTTCATCTCTCACAGAACTATGACTATGAAGATTCCAATTGCAGAAAGGGACAAGTACATAGGAAGGAATGGCAAAGTGACAAAGGCTGTGCTGAGATGAAGACACTATGGAAACATTGTGTCTTGCCTTCTACTCCTCATTTCCCGGCCCTACATCCCTCCTGCACATCAAGTGCCCAATGAGTACATGTTGAATAAATGTTTGTTCAGTAAGTGTTGCTTTTCAGAGTTCCTTTTGCATTAGGAAAGCGATATGATGGAGAAATGTTACTCTCCTCCAAGCTCTTTGAGTTATATAGTAAAGTTGATGGAGAAATCAGACATGTACATAATTAAGATAGGGATTCAAATTCAGTTCAGCTTCACCGGGTACCAATCTGGAACTTGTATTACCAAATAAGTTTATGGATATATTCGCTCATGAAATTTCTTTTTCTTTTCTTTTTCTTTCTTTCTTTTTTATTTTTTTGGGGGGAAGATTAGCCCTTAGCTCACATCTGCCGCCAATCCTTTTTTGCTGAGGAAGACTGGCTTTGAGCTAACATCCGTGCCCATCTTTCTCTACTTTATATGTGGGGCACCTGCCCAGCATGACTTGCCAAGCGGTGCCATGTCCACACAGGGGATCCATACCAGTGAACCCCGGGCTGCCGAAGTGGAATGTGCAAACTTAACTGCTGTGCCACCGGGCTGGCCCCTCATGAAGTTTATTTTTGACACAGTAAACATTTCATTTAATTTCACAGAAAATATTTAACAAAATTCCTATCTGTAACATACAGTGCTATGCACTCGGGGGAATTCCAGTAGTAAGAGTTTGGTGGGTGCTGGAGAATTCCATTTTAATGGATTTCTACACTTTTGTCTAGTTAACAAGGCTGTGACCACATATTAACAAGATAACAGGTCTTTATTCCAGTAAACATTCATTTTGTTTTACTCCTAAAATTAGCTGTAAATGTTTATGGTTAGGGAGGGTCTGGGGATAGAAATAAACTTTTAACTTTTTGGTCTTAAATATTTATCATTTGCCTGCCTACCTGATGACAAGCAGAGATAGGCAAACACAATTTCTTTAAGAAGAATTTTTTGTTTCATTGAAGAAGATTGGCCCTGAGCCGACATCTGTTGCCTATCTTCCTCTTTTTGCTTGAGGAAGATTATTGCTGAGCTAACATCTGTGCCAGTCTTCCTCTACTTTGCATCTGGGATGCGGCCATGGCATGGCTGATGAGCAGTGTGTAGGTACATGCCTAGGATCCGAACCCATGAACTCAGGGTTGCTGAAACGGAGAGCATGAACTTAACCACTAGACACCGGGCCAGCCCCAAAGTGGAGTTTTAAAGAAAAAGCCATGAGTATGCTTACCACACAATACAGATTTGTGAGGTTTAGCTGAGAACGTTGCCTTTATTACAATGAATAAAGAATCCCAGTGCGTCCACATAACCATGCACGCAGCATGGTGTCCTTCCTGCTCTTAGCTGTGTGAACTTGGATTGTTACTGGGGACCCTCATGCCCAGGGAGGCTATTTCGGGTGTCTTAGGGTCAGCACTTGGGGTCATTAGCTTTGTAATCTGAAGTGGTCGTTCTAAAAGACCGCAGTTTCTCCAACGAGTCTTCGAACCTTTAAAATGATACAATGGCATTAACAACTCATCGGATACAATTTAACATTTTACATTGCCTCATCTTTTCCCCTAGAAAATGGCGGAGAGAAATATTAAACCTTACTGAGATGTGAACTTGGTGTCTTGCATGCAAACAAGGCCCTGAGTGTTTGTGAACGAACTTCAGTGAAGCCACCGTACTTCCTTTTTGACCTACAAAATGCCTTTGACCTTCCCCACAAGTGAGAGCAAATGATGAACGTGAAAGATGATATTTTAAAAACTCTGTATTCAATTATTCACACCAAAGGATATCCATTAAAATTATGAACATCTCTAAATATATTTCATGTATCATACATATATATACTTTATATGTATAATTACATATCGACAAAAGATTTCTGGCTGCTCTAAGCATGTAAGTAAAACAAAGATAGATTTTGCAACGTAACACCCATATATGCATATATACCAGCTGTTTGAATTATGAATTTATTTACAACTTGCTTAGGTTAGAATAAGTGATTACTGTTCTATTGTACAAACATAACAGGTTAGGGTTTCTTTAAATACAAAGACTGCAAATGAATACATGAAAAAATTACACACATGTACAATATTTATAATTTATAAAAGCAAAGTTAAGACCTCTTTAAATTATTGCACTTGCGCATTTTACAAAGATTGTTAGATGTTGTACATAGAAAATAATGTTTTTAAATTTACTAACTCATCCACTATAATGAAGTTGGATATTGTTCACTTGAAATTCTTTCACCTTCCAAGAAAGCCCATTAAAACTTTGGATACAGATCCATTGACTCTACACATCACTTAATTTTGAGCGTTGTATTTCTGATAGCTTGTAACCCGCATCACACTCCAGCCTTTTGGGCGGCAAGGAGATCACCCCAGCAAACTCTCAGACGCCTCAGCTTGGCAGGAATAAAGGTTGTCTTTTGTTCATGTGGACTTGTAAAGAAAGTCACCTTCTGTTTACAGACAGATTCAAGATGCTGCATTTCTACAAATTTTGGTAACTGTTTCACAGTGTCTTGGGCAAGCATATTATTCCAACTGGGTCACTGGGTTGGGTCCGGTGAATAGGTAGGGGCATTGTCTAGAAAGACCTTCTATAGGTAAATCTATTGAACTTTCAATGTGCACACTAGATGGATACACAGAATATACACCATACAACAGACCGTATGGAAAATAATACTCCTATATGTCATTTACATAGGCTATTTAAGATCTGGCATGGGGCTCGGTATTACGGTAACCAATGGACAAAACCAAAAGCTGTCACGCCCATGATATAATGATATTTGAGGTGAGCTAGAGTACTAGGTAAAGCGCTTTTAAAACTTAGTCTACAATGGGAATAAAAACTTTCCATTTAAACTTCTGCAAATCTACGGTACCTTAAAAATATGAGCTGAAACCTGACATGTGTAAACTAACTTCTCTACTTGGCAATCTGGATTCAGCTGTAAATTTCCATCTGAGTCCTTGGGTGACAATACTCTGTGCCCCAGCAGAGCCACACTAGGGTGTGCGTGCTCTCGGTTACCATTTACTCACACCTGCTGTAAAGAGCAGGCAAATGATGCGCAAAGTACGCAGCACACTTCCCACTGTTGGGTCAAGAAGGGAAAAGCTTCGATGAGTGATGACAGTAATGCTCTTCACGACTTTAAACGTGATTCTTAGGAATGTCTTTCCCTGTGTCCCATCTTTTAAATTTAGAATCAGAACACCACTGAAACTTTTTTCTTTCTTTCTTTTGCTATTTTTTTCATCACATAAATGCATCTAATGCTTCAGACAACCAAGATATCCAGTAAAAAAGAAAAGACAAAACAAAAAGTGTAAGTACTGCATTGGGTATCACTAATTGAAACTTAAGATAGCTGTTTAAAGGAATTGGAAAAATGTGTCATCAGGATAAATACTTACGTAAAGGTAAGAACAGAACCGCCATGCGCTACTGACAAGCATGGGGAAGGAAGAATTGAGAACAAGTTCGGCTAATTCACATTTTATAGTGATCTCAAAATCAGATTAATGCTTGCAATAGAAGGGATACACCAATGTGATTAAATGAGTAAGGCTTTAAAGAATCAAACCCTAAATAAAATCAGCCAAGTGTAGGAAGCAAACACATACTTGAAAGATAGAAAGATAGAAGTGATTTTCAAAATCTAAATCATGCATATGTACCAGAAACCCAACAAAATCACATCATGATCAGTGTCATAGTTCTTGGAAGTTCTTGCAAAAAAAAATACTGAATCTGAACAGTTCATTGATTGTAGTTATGAGGGTATATGGGGGTATATGTGAATAAAGGAGAGAAATCTGAGGAGAGAAAGGTCTTATTCAGTCAACCTGATAAAATTAACCATGGGTGTCCCTTTAAATGTTTCCAATTATAGTTAAGCAAGAAAAGCAAACTAGTGACTATATGAATGAAGAAGAAAAATGAGTATTTAAAATAAAGGCACTGGCCAAGGCGGGGTGAATAATTTAATCCTATTAAAGCTCAAACCTTAATTCTGAGTTAAAAGGCCAGAAACATAATCCTCAAAATGAAATCTATTAAAAATTCCAGGTAGCTAAGGATTTATGCATCTATGTGTGTCACGTACAAAAAGATCTAGTGTAGCTGAACATCCAATAAAGCAAAATTCACTGAGATCAACTGTACAAAACAAAATTTTAGAAAATCTAAAAAGCATGCTAAGAGGAGGAAACCTACACTGAACAGATCTAGCTTCAAATTATTTCTGATTTTGTTGCTCTGAGAACACATCAGTTCGAGTAGCATTGTAATGTTCTGCACAGATGTTTCTTCATTGAGAGAAGAGTCAGGAATGAGGACAACTGTGAGTATTTCAATGTGGTCTCTCTTCCAAGACCGGTTTCTCGTGCGCTTCTTAGAAATAACGGAAGCTGGGAAATGCATCACAATTCCTGCCTGAGTCAAAGGGCCATTTTTGAGAACTACTTTCCACACGCATTGCATTTGTTTCAGCTTTTCTAATTAATTCAAAGTCAACTATTGTTTAATAAGATGCTTGCACTTTTTTAGAATTTTATTCCACTGCCGGAGCTCAATATTTCATGTTGTTGTCGGCGTGCATTTCCAAGAAAATTTCTAGTTAAAAAATATTTTCACTATCTCTGGCAAGATAATGGAATCACTTCATTTGACAATAAAACTGTCTATTATAAATCAGCACAACTAATAAAAATGTCTGCAAATCAAACATTCTATATACACTAACAGCTGGTTAGCCCAAGATCGAAAACCAGCCTACTGAGAAACTCACCAAAACTTTTGGTAACAAAAATCATCTATCTTTTTGAGAAAAGATCTGGGAAAAAGATGAGAACTCAAAAGCTTTTCTGCTAAATATATCTGCCAAAAGGCAAAAATGCTCCTCACTATATTTTTTCCAGAACAGATTGTTCACTAAACATCACTGCATCCTGGGCCCTTTTATTTTAGGTAAATCTATGATTCCTAAGTAAATCTTACTCATGGTAAAAGCAATATGAACATTTTACATTAGAATAGAGTCTTTGCTTCAAATTCTGTTTCCATTAAGACAATATTTTATGAGAAATCAACCAACCAATTAATCCATATACATTTCTTTGGGAAACTCTTCAAAGTGCAGTCATATGATATAATACACCTGGCGGTGTCACAATAGGAGAATTTTCTGTGATAATCTTACCGGAATAGCAACCTTAAATGCAAAAATGCCCATAGGACTCTCTCCCCCCATAACCGTTCTCTATCGAGAAGCAGAATTCATGCATTCTTTTAAAATCCTTTTAATTCAACAACAATCTTAAATGATATTTCCTCCCCCATTGCAATTCAGTCTCCAAGTTAAATTAAATGACCAAATTAACTTTTGTGATGGAAGTTGAAATTGGTGGGTCCGGTTTCATAAATTTAGACGCAGAAAAATACGCAACTTTTTAGTATTCAATCCTATGAATACACTAACATAAAAAAGACACTTTCTTCTCAGCTCTTTATCAAACAATACACATTTTCCAGCACAAAAAAATCACCGTTTTTGAAGAATGGGGCTGATTTTTATTTTTCATAGATGTGTTTGCATCACTCTCTCTTTCTCTCATACATACATGTGTATATCTACATGTGTGTGTATGTGTGTACCTAGCCACAGTGGTATTTCTCTCTCTTTAGTTATTTCATTTTACCTCATATTGTATAATTACAGTCCCAAATGATGCCCCGTGTAGGCAAGATGGCAACCTTCAGAAGCCCATAAGGAAACTGAACACATAGTGTTAATTTTAAAATAAGAACAATGTTTATGTATAGCGAACTCTGCTACAGCATAAATAAACCATGTTGTAGAAACATCTGATTTAATTTTTTTGCAAAAAACCAAACTCATATGAACAACAACGTGTACAGTATTGAAATGTAGAAGAATATTTTAAAAATTTATTTTATTAAAAGGAATATTCCAGTTTCCTGCCACATGAATAGTGGAGAAGGTGTCTGTTATGGGTTGGCCTGTCACTTCTTGAGACGCTTAATTCCTTCAGGTCAGGACTAATGACAGCTTCGGAGGTGCCTGTGTCATTGTGCTAAAGATCTTTACAGCATTAATATGCACCAGAAGTGACTGGCTTATAATCCTCGTAGGAAGAGGTCCAGACTATGACTTTTGTATAATATTTACACTGTAGAGTAATATTAGTCTACCAAAAATTATACAGAAGAAACTCTCCAAACCACAGGTTTCTATGCAGATTTTGATCTTAACCAGAGTAAAGAGAGCAGACATAAGCCACAATGCAATTACACTGTTTTCTTCTACTCCCCTGTCACAGACAGAAAGCTTATGAAAGATGATCGAGTAACATAAAAAGGGATAAATGGGAGATGAATTCAGCAGAACAAAGTAAAAATTACAGAACACTTAAATTTTATGGTTTAATTTGATTTTGAGAGAAATGTATGATATTTTAAATAATTTGCAGAATAAACCTTTCATGTTGAGTGTGCGTCTAAAATTCTGCAATGACACCAAGTGAAAATAGAAAGGAATCATTATTAAAAATTCACATTTTACATCCATAAGACTTGTCCGTTAAAAAACAAATTTCATATGCTTTTCCTTTATTTTGTTCTTTATGCAAAAGGTTTAGTAAATCTGCCAAGACTACAATGAAGAAAAGAAAATTAAGAAAAAATTCTTTGACGTCTTTTGAATTGATACTTAGAGTTCTGAATTTATTATGATGTATATTTGCATCTCTTCTCCAGATGAAAGAATGTCTACTTCCTTTAGTGTTAAATTTACTCATCTAAGCCCTTTAGTACAAACTTAAAGGATACACTTTAGTCCACCTAACTTTTAATTCATGAGGCTTTGAGACAAGAATCTGACTATTTTCCATCACTGATTGCAGAAAGACACTTCCTACTCCGTAACCTCGATAACGCCTGTCCTGAGGCTGGCTGCTACAATTCACGCTAATTACAAGTAGGTCACACATGAACATTCACAATAGTAATGTGTAAAAATTCCTATTTATAACCAACAACATCAAAGCAACATTGGTGTTAAAGCCAAAGTACAATATCATAATAGTACCATTTTAAACCCTCACTAGAAAGATACAATGGAAAAGTACCCCCTTCTGAATAATTTTTGTCCATTTCCATTAAGGCCTCAGCAATATTAGCCTATTAGAAAAGGCCAGTTTGCAAGTCCAATGGAGTCACGTGGACAGCTGATTTCTGGTCATGGGGTGGTCCTGGTTGACCACTGTCTATGATGCGTTACAGATGAGACAGTCATCTGCTTGACATATTGACTTGATGTTACCTTCTTGAAGAGGTTTGCATCCCAGGTACCAGATGTAGGTTTCCCCCCACAAAAACAAAAGGAAGAAAAGTCAAAGAAGCTGGACGAGCATCTTCAGGTGGGACAGCTCATCAGCAGGCATCAGTCATCAATCTTCACAGGCACCTTCTCAGAGGTCCCCTGGGCCACTGGTTGGGACGAGATCCACACTGCGCTCTCCTCCCCTCGAATCACCTTCTCCCACTGGCTGAGGTTATTCCTAGGGATAAAAGACACAGTGACAGGTGATGTTTAAAGAAGGATTTCTGGACTCTGTCTCAAAAATTAACCACACCCTCCTGTGGCATGACTAAGCATGGTGGCTTTTTGGTGTCATTCTGACTGTGATAATAACCAGCTTGCTGAGACCAGGCAGGCTCCCATTGTGTCTCCCTGACTTGCCCCTGCAGCTTAGTGTCCGTAGAAGGGCCTTGAACCACCAAAGCCTGGGGGGTACCTTGTCCACCAGCTCTGGACTGCAAGGTCAAAAAGGAAAGCGAGGCTCAGGACAGATCATTTGAAGGGTTAACTCAAAAAGGAAAATGAGCCTTAGGATTTACTACTGAGGAACATGCAGGATAGATGGATGGGGAGGATGCCCGAGCAGCAAGAATGTTCAGGACCAAAGGAACAGCCAGGGCCTTCAGACTCTGCGGGGTGGAAACAGTGCATGTCCTTGGAGGCTGCAGTCCCTGTCACATCACACTTGAAACTGGGGAGCAGCCTGATTTTGGACACTATGTCATAAATAAAAAGTCACCGTAAGTCACACCTGGTACAAACATTTGAAATTTCCTCGTGATGGTGAAACCGTGTTTGTGTTCTGGTGACCTCCAGTCTCAAATGCAGCCTCGTTTCTCTGCCACCCTCTCAGTATCTGCAGTTCAAATGCTGCATGCATCTTCATCTTCTTTAACGGTGTGATAACTACCACTGCATGACCACCATCTTGCCTTCTATGGCTAAGCAGGCAGAGATCGCACCATTTCCCACCCTGCACTTTGCTTCCATATACAGAGTCAGAATCAGAAAGCAACTTTGGCATTGGCAAACACAAAATTCGTACAAAGCATACACAAGCTAAGACACCTCTGGACAAAAGAAATCCCCAAAATATAACCTGAAAAATGTAATACTTTTAACTTTTGTACCATATCACCAGGCATCATTCTCCCAGAACCTAGAGATATTTTGACATATTGGAAAAAGGACATCACTAACTTTGCTATGTTTCCTTGGACACCAGTGACACACGATGAATTTTTTTAAGATTAAAAAGGTCTTTAAGAGATTACGTGGTTCAGCCAAGTACACTGAAGCAAGGATGTGGCAAAGGTGATAAGACAACTGAGTACCTATCCCAGTGCTTGACAATCACGGCAAGCATTCCTTCTGCTGATTCTAAATATTCAGCATAAAATGAGCAGAATTTTTGGATAGCAAAGGACTTCTGACTATTGCCTAGGATATTTTTTTCCCCCAACATACTGTGTGGATTTCAATTTGGTGGGGCATTCACTTTTTCAACCTGATTCCATTAAAAATGAGTCCTAGTTCACACTCCATATTGTCCACATGGCTCAGCCCTCGTGTAATAAGATGGTATTTTAATAAACTAATCACTGATTAAGGTCCGTGATGGCTTGACAAAATAAGGTGGGATGCTATGTTCATCTCCCAGGGGGCAGAGGGGAAAGAGAAGCCATCACTTAAACAAAAAATAAAAAATTAAAAAATCATTTTTTAAATTTTCTTGCTTGTTGGTTTTGTTTGTTTTCCTTAAAAATTTAGTTCATAAGATACATTTCAACAGCAGAGGATGGGAGTACACTAAAGGCTTTTGGTTTTGTTTAAAATTATTAAGTCAAATGTCTGTCCCCTGTCCCTCCCATCCTGTGTCTCTCCTTCCCATCCCCCACCCGCCCTCATGCACACTCCACCCAACAAGTGTGGTTCTGGCAGAGTAGTTAGAAAAATCTCCTTGACACCAATTCACCTGCAGAACTCACACAGCTTCTCTGCCCATCACCCTTCGCTTTCCCCGGAGGGGAACTTCTTTTCAAAGTAAAATAAAGATCTTAAAAAAAATTCCAATGTTCTTAGCTGAGCTCAGCCCTCAAAAAAGATGATGAAAGGACAGGAAGAAACCTGAAGCTAGGACAGATAAGAGACAGCTTACATTTCTTTTGGGAAGAAAATAAAACGTAAAGAGAGAGGTCCCATTCAAGGTTCCCTCTCTTCCATTTAAACAATAAACTGTGTGATTTAAGCTGAGCCTCTTTCCAAAGCAGCAGACCTGAACAGACATTACTGTCTCATCTTTTTAGGAACAGCATTGGGCAGGGCTCTCTACGTCATAAAAGCAAACAAAAAAACTCCATGTTCCATTTTTGTGAATGTATAACTTTATGAATACTCTTGTGTGTGTGAGGAAGATTGGCCCTGAGCTAACATCAGTGTCAATCTTTCTCTATTTTGTATGTGGGACACCACCACAGCATGCTTTGATGTAGGTCTTTGCCTGGAATCCGAACCTGCAAACCCTGGGCTGCCGAAGCAGAGCACATGAACTTAACCACTATGCTACAAGGTGAGCCCCAGAATAAATACTCTTGACATATAATTGTTACCTAGGCAAACACACAGCCCATCAAATTATATTTATTGTTAACTATAAATAAGACACACGCACACTCTGACGGAGTGTAAAATCCTACATGGAGTCTTAGTCATTTTTTAAAACAACATCACAGCTTGAACTATGTACATACCTGCACGCTTTGAGGAGGGGCTCCGTGGGAGGGAAGATCTGGGTAAGGGTGGTGTAGCAGGGAATTGCTACCGCGTTATAGAATCCAAGCTGCCTCAGCACAAAAACCATCGACAAGAAACACAACTGCACGTTAGCGATTCCAGCAGCACAATATTTCCAAGTGAATTTTCTATTTCTCCCACCTAACTATAAAATTAAACGTTCTAGTTTTGCTACGTGACATTTGTGCTCAACGAACACTACTGGAGAGGACAGTTAAAAATCCATTAAAATACATTTTCAAAATAAAACACATAAAAATTGAAAACATAAAAAGAACTTAATCTAAAACCCAAGTACAGCAGTCAATGAGATTCTATTTATAGACCAGTCAAGTTATAATTCAAGTCCTGTTTTTATCTCTGGTCAGATTAGTATTCTACCGTAGACATTCCAAAGTCAACCAGCTATTCTAAATGGCTGACTCTTCTCCAACTTAATATTCGGGAATCAGTGCACGCTGTTTTATCTGTTTGTTACTCTTGGCTTTTGGTATCTTTTTTGGTCTCTTGAAATTTTCCTCATCTCCCTCCTCCCTTTATTTGACCCATAACAAGTCTCATTGACTTTATCAGAGTTCTCTCAGGATACAGTTCTGTCAGTACGTCAGATTTCAGTTCATCTGTGGTACTTTAAAAATATATATTCTAGAACACTTTATTAGGAATTCTGGGCCACTGTGAAAATAAATGATGCTAGTTCAGACTGGCCTACTGAAGGCCAGACGTAAAAGATCTGCTACACTATTGGCCAGAGACCACAGCTTGTCTAGATTCACATAACTGCCCATGTGGTTGACACCATGTAGGAGATAAAATCGGCTCCTTGGATGAGGTGACCCCCAAACCATGGCTTATCAATTTCTTTAAAAAACTCAACTTCAGTGAGATGCACCAAAGGATACGGTAGAATCAAATCTACTTGGTTCCTTTCTGTTTCCTGCTGTTGAAAAGTCTATCATCACAGCAACCTCACTAGTCCAATATCTATGTGTTTCCATCTTTAACTTTATAGTGCACAGAGACTCTCTTATTTTAATATTTAGCAGGTATCATGGAGGAGAAGATCTCGAGAAAGAAATTTATTATAGGAAAGTAGAGTATTTTATTATTAATGCAAAAGAATAATGTCAGAGTAATCACAATTCAGAAGCAATATAGTTGGTAAACTATTAGCTGATCGCAGAAATATTTTATTTAAAACTCATACTGTAAATGGATCTGGAATTTTGTCAAAAAACAAACTACTCTCATAAATAAATAACACTAGGACAGAGCCCATTCTTTGATCACATTTTCAGCTATCCTATGCATTCTGTTGGGATGACAGCTTAACTAGCAGGAAAGAAAAACATTGCTAGACCCCTATCTTAAGCCACATAACAAAATAAACTCCAAAAGAATTAACAAATCAAATATAAAGTGATGAAATGAAAAAAGTAGCTAAAGAAAATAGGTAAATATTTAAATAATCTCAGGGTGGGACAGGAATTCTATATTGTGACATGAAAAGCAGACACTGGACGGGAAAAGACTGATTGCTGTGAGTACATATATTGTGAAGTCTCATAAACAACGTGAAAAAGAAATTAAGCTGCAAAGTACACATGCAACATGCATGACAGGCATGTCAGGTGCACTTTCAACGAGGAAGGAACAATGAGCATCCATCAGAAAAACTGGGTAAGGACATGAGTAAACTGTTTACTGAAGTCAATGAGGAGGAAAAAAAACATGGAGGCTCTTGCTGTGCTGATGTCCCTACGAGCTGTGGACTTGCCTAAACTTTTGTATTAAGAGTTAATAAATGTACTTGAAATAAAGTAGGAAAAGTTGAGAACTTATCCAAAACCATCATCCTTTGAATTTTCTAAAATGTTTTCTAAACTGAATTCTACATTATAAATATTTGTCCAAAACTCACTTCCTTATTTGACATGAGAAGAGGAGTAGTTTAAAAACACCATAATCTGACAAATACATCACACGACACATGCACACATGCAAAACTAACAAGGCACAAGAGCTCTCAAAATGTCAAAAAATTAACATAAATTATGGAGGAAGACCTGGAAAGAGAATAATTATGCCAATTGATGTTAAAACAAAACTCAAGACGTACTAAAATACTTTGCATTATTTTTTAGGAAAAGTTGACTTAATCAAACTCTTTGATGTTACTTTCCAAAAAATAACTTTGTACATTCAATGACAAAATATTTTCTGCTTGTTAAAAATATTAAGAATTCAAATTCATACATCCTCTCTATTTCAAGTCAGAAAAGGAAGCTTGTTTACTGCAATTAGATCTATAGAAAGAAGCGATGACGAGGGTATTTAGGAATTCTTTACATCCATAGGATTTCCTGATATTGGTCTTCCTAGCCCCAAACTCTAAACGGAGAAGATTTCAAGTAGTTCTGGCTGCTGTAAGATGGTATACGCTTTTTATTCATTTACGATTTTATCACCATTCTAAATTACTTGACTTTACAACATAATTCATACCTGGCCCTGTGGGACTTCGTCCTTCTTGTCTCTGTCCATCATAGGAATAGGCTGTATTCCCAACTTCTTCATTTCATCACCCTAAGATAAACAGGGGAAAAATCATGCTTTCTCAACTTATAAAGAGTTATTAAATTTTGCTATTAAAGAGTTGTTCCCCTTATTCATTAATTTCACCAAAATGAACAATGTTTCCGGTTATTGGCTCAAACCAATGTCATAATAATGAAAAATGTGAAGTATCATTGTTTGGTTTTTATCCTGATGTTCTCCTGTACTGAATTACCAGAAACCCAGACGGCTTTTCTGGTTTAATTTTGCAGAAGTCAGTACAAGTTATAATAAGAGGAAATATAGTAAAGACTGAGGCGGAATAAAAAAACATGGAAGAATCTAAAGGCCTTTTTCTCACCTTTTTCAAATGATTTTTCATGTACACTGAACCAGGTGAAGCAAGGTTTAGCAAGACATATTGATAGATCGAGAAGAAACAATAGTCTGCTAAGATGGGTTAGTAAAGATGCAGTATGACTGGCTATCCATTATCATAAAAGTCCTAACTATAGCTGTTTACTGAAGACATCCTATGGTGCAGGCTCTGGGCCAAATAACTTGTAAATGTTATCTCATTTAATCTTCATGAAATACTATGAGTTAGATATTATCATCCCCATTTCATAGATTGTAAAACTTATCCTACCCTTTTTATTTATTTGTTAAAAATTAAAATCTTCCTTAACATTCCCTAATTTTTTTCCTAATACCCCATTCCTCCCTCACATGTCCTTATTATTTTTTATGTTAATTATTTTAATTATGCTTGTTTTCAGCAATCAGAAGTACACAACTAACAACATCTTAGATTTGCTAAGGTGGGGTCTAGAAACCAACTGCTAATGTACAGGACACAGGGATTTGTCCCAACAACGTAAAGACACAGCAAGCACAGCTTTTGCCTAGTGTTATCACTTTAAGTACTAAAATCAGTGGCTCTCCAATTTTTTTCTTTTCTATTCTAAGTGAATGAAACTAACTAGGCCCTTTGCTTTCCGGGATTTCACAAGTCCAACAAGCAAAAAGATTTTAAATAAACAATGATTTGAATAGGCACTCAACAAATAAGGATACATGCTAAAAAGGAGAACAACTGAGTCCTGTGGAATGTGTACCATGGAGAAGGGACCTAGTCTGAGGCTTGGAGAGGAAGGGGCTGCAGAGGCGTGAGGGGGAGTGCTCTAGGCAGATGAAAAGTCAGGGGACAGGCAGAGAGCTAGATGACAACCTGGAGATGTGAATAAAGGAATCGCGAGGGGCTGGGACAGCCTGGAGAGACACTGGGCTCTGCAGATCAAGTTCACAATTTTTGTGTTTATCTCAACAGCAGGGAGAGACAAAGGGTTGGAAGCAGGCTACTGACAGAATCAGAAAAGTCATCCTCATCTCGAAAATATGGCAGCCGAGTCACAGTGGTTAGTCAGAACCCTAGCTGAGGTTTCATCCTAAGTGACAATGCGGGATTTTAATCTCAAACCACATGACACCAAAGACCACACTCTTACTTACTGTTACACTAAGTCTAAAAGATACAAGCAAGGAACCGGGTTAGAATGTTACAGTAATCCAGGAAGGATCTGACGGAAGTCTGAAGTAGGGAGAGACGGTGGGGATGGGAGGGTAGACCGGACTTTAAGATATCTAGGAGATCAACTGGCAGGACCTGGTGATTTTATTCCTATTTCCTCCCAAGAACAATGAGGTCCTGGAAGAGGGCACCTACGAATATGCTGGGAGCTTAATCGATCTTTGAGGACTGTTTAACCAAAGAGGAACAGAAAAGGAAAAAAAATCTGTGCTACATACCTCTCACATTTTGATTCATATTTTAGAATACAAATACAGTTGTTAAAGTATGAAATACGTCATAGTTAAATAAAATAATTTGCAAAACAATAAGCTAGCTTCAGACCAGTCTTCTTAACAGCGATAATCAGAGAATGTACTCCAGATGATTACCTTTAGACACACGTGCAAATTAAGTTGACTGTGACGAGAAAGTCAAATATTACAGTTCAGACATGTACATTGAAAACAACCTTCCACGTTGAGTCTGATAGTAACTAGGTTCTGACACATACACACACACAACAAATTTTTAAAAATGATACAGGAGTATGCACACATAACATATAAGGTGTTCTGGAGAAGTAACACCATGAGTAGAAGGAACTCAAGGCCTTTGGTTCCCACTTGACACAAATTCTCTGGCTTCATCATTATGAAACAATTCAACATTATAAACCATTTCGCCTTTCCTTTTAACTGGATGACTGGCCGGTTTTGACTTTTTAACGACATTCTTCTACCTGAGTGAGATATATGGTTTGATCATCAACTACCCAACTCTTTGGCTTCCAAACTTACCTGTATTTCTTCAAACCAAATGAGGTACCCAAAGGTTTTGTAGGGTTTTTTTCCCCCACAATGTAATCTTGGAATATGTGTGGACCTATAGGTATTTGTGGATTCATCTAAACAAGATAATTACATTCTGCTTACTCATGGACAACTCAGAAAGAAAATTGAGGGGTTAAATGCACATTTCTGATAATTTAGATAATTCAGGCAAGAAAAGGTGTTAACCAAAGTGTAATTTACGTGTTTGTTTCACACATCAGGAGTATCATGAATTAATATCCCACATATTCTAGAGAACCCATAATTTGCAGTTAAATAGAGTATTTGGTATATTTATATAATCTTATATGTCTGTGGTACAAAATGATTATTGTCTCGAATTTCCAACTGCAGGCACATATAGCTCATGATACTCTGAGTCTTTCTTAACACTTTTTCCAGTGCCTATCTTAAAACAGATGACCAGTAATGTTTTTTGAATGAATGAACCAAAGATTGGCTATTAAATAAGGGAAACTGTTGCACTATTGTTCAGTGAATAAGTTCCTGAATTCTTTCAGTTGAGATCAGAGAACTTACACACATATTCAAGTCAGATGTCACAGAATGACTGTTCTCACTCTGTATGTGTAATAGCTAAATTCCTCATCGTGTGTGATTGGCCAGAGTTTTTTGAAATAACTAGCAACATGCACAATTAAGACCTTGTTACTAAATTATCCATTTACAAAATTTCTCCTCTGATTTGCTTCCATTTCTTGATATTATCTCTGTTCATATAAAACGCAAGGACATACCTCAGCCCAGAACTCAGCATATATATCATTTGCTGTCAATTTTGTAACTGGCCACAGTTTCGTCACAGAACAAAGATCGCAGGCAGTCATCATCAAACCAATGACACGGTCTCTAGAACGCAATAATACAAAAGTGGTCAGCGCAGCATTTGTACATTTGTACTGAGAACTGGAAGGACTCCTGTAGTTTCAGGAATGAGACTGAGGTTGGCGTTACTTCATGATGGGGGAAAGAGTGAGTTACACAGTAGATACCACTGACAGGCAGGAAAGAAAGGCAGAATTAGAGAACAGTGTTGCTTTAATTCTAAGAACATCGGTCACTTGTGTCACTGGTCCCATGAAGAGGATATCATATGTGCCTGTTGCCTTGGTATTACTGCTGAAATCAAATATAACGTGGGCACAGCTCTGTTACCATCTTAATCCACTGGCACCCTTTTACAGGCATGGACCAGATTTTCATTTTCATGCAATTTTGGAAATTTAGAGTGGAAACAAAATATTTATCCCAATCCTTTCATTTTATATTTACATAAGGAAAATCTGAGGTACAAAGAAATGAAATGACGTGTCCAAGGTGGAAGTAGCTCAAGACAGGACGCAGGTCTCCAGCATTCCCTCCTGTGTCCCCACGAGCAGAGAATGGATGTGATGGGAACAGTTTCCGAAAACTTTGCAAATTCTAACCTCCCAAGTGAAATGAGTTTTCTTTTTCAGTTGCTTTGCATTCACAACTGTGTGTTCCATGTCTGACTTTAAAAAAAAAAAAAAACTGTTTGGTTTAGTCTTTCCGCTTGAAGAAAAATAAAAATTGCTTAAAGAATTCAGAGACATACCCCCTATAGTTTTAGTGGATTTGCTCCACTGATAGGTGGTTCCCCTAAATGAAGGCTGCACTTAACGGCAACACTACACACTAGTAATTAAGGAATTTTAACATGCTGACTTTAACTTTTATGAGGCAAATTATGTAACTTTCAAAGACAAGTAATGAAGAAAGATACAAAACTGGAAAAAGTGAGACGATGTTGTTTCCAGCTCATATCTAAATTTTAATGATTCTTCGAAACCCACTGCTGCTAACCACTGCCTCACTCTTTGTTGGTCCACAGACACTCCCCACCTGTGAGCATCACCCTGCACGGGTCCTGAGCCTGTCCCGACCAGGGCAGACAGCATATTAAGAGCATCTGTCTGTCACACTGGCAGAGTGTCTGGTTTAGCTGTGCTCCCTAAAGGGACGATTCCAGGATACCCAGGAGATGCTGCTTTTCCTATTACCCATGTCTTTGACGCCAGTCAGTTGCAAGGATCTTTTATTTCCAATCAGCCCGATTCCTTTAGCCCATTTGCCTAATTAAATGATCTCTTCTACAGTCTTACTTTTCATACAGACACGTCAAAGGTATCATGTCTCCAACAGAGAAGACGAGATAACTTTATAAACATCGATGAGACTCATGCGTACCCTTCCTATGACCCAAACAGATGCCACATGAAGATCCACATTCCTTAAAATGATCAGGGATCTCTATTTTTTTGACGAGGTGATTTCCCAAGCACTTCATGGTTTAAAGGAAGAATATTTATTTCTAGATTTGGGCTTCTAAATGAATGAGTATATTATCTGTTTGCTCAATAGTAAATTCATTTAAACAGAAATAGAACAGGGAAAAAACTATTATTCTGTTTACAAATAATTATATCATGACATTGAAATAATTCAATCTCATTCAATCTATATTTACCAAAAAAAATTCAACATTTATTTCTCTTGGCTAAATATTCTAATAAGCTTTATCCTAAAAAGGCTTTCCTATCTCATAAATTTATGAAATAAAAAAAATGTACATAGAATGGGACACCGTAAAACACATGGAATTAAATTTTTCACTGAAAATGATTTCACAGGTAACATTGCTATTACTGGGGTGGGAAAGATCATGAACTAGCTATCATTTAGATTTAGCTGCCAAAATTACTTAGACAAAACAATTTAACAGCAGTTATTTTACTGTTAACCAAAAAAAGTACATAAAACAGATAAATTCTGCATTAAATGCCTTTAACAAATAAAATTACTTTTTTTTTTACTCTCAGTGACAAATCAGTTGGATGGTCATGATTGTCCAGAAACATTAACCTGAACTGGCATAGTTTTATTTCTTTCCATGAATGGAATATGGACCCAATTGGTGTAGATCCCTAATTCATAACTTGTTCTAACAACCAAGTGTGAAAGGGATCGAGTTCATGCTAACTGTACTCTTAGTATGACCTTGTATAACCTTGTCACTAAGAACAATGAAGTAAGAGCTCAACACAACGCCTATGTTACAGACAATTCTTAAGCAAGTAGTTTTAGGGGGTTTGACTATTTTCATTTATTCCAAAAAGATTTTAATGCCTGTTACGAGTCAAGCAAGGTTAGAGCAACCAAAAAAAAAATAGATCGTGATACTGTAGAACTAATTCTGGCGGAGAGAAGCAGGAAATAATAAAGTCATACATTTCATGCAACAAGTCTGTGTAAAACATATTTCAAAAGAGGCAAAAACATGAAGATCTGTGAGAGCGTTCCAGTAGAGAGGACAGTATGTGTAGTGTGTCTGAGAAACAACAAGAAAGCCAGTTTGGCTGAAACATAGGAATGACTGGAACTTGGGGTGCTGCTAAGTCTGGAGACAAGCCAGGAGTTCAGCTTTTATTCCAAGTCTGATGACAAGACACTGGAGACTACAAGCAGAGGAGTGACATGATACACGTTTTCAAGAGATCCCTCTGGTCTTCTCAGTCGGGGAAGGAATTGTAGAATCGTAGGAGGGTAAGGGAGGATGTGGAGAAATCATTGAGGACAACACTGCAGTGGTCCAGACGACAGATGATGGCAGCCTGAATTAGGATGATGATAGAGGAGACACGCAAAGCAGAGGATTCCAGAAGTTAGAGGGAGAGCCAAGTGGAAATATGTTCACATCTACAGGAGTTATGACAGGCCAGCTGGAGAACCAACACCACAGCAAAGATTTTAGACTCTTACTGTCTCCAATGACATGAGTGATAACTCTTTAATATCAGCATAAGCATGACAGAGTGGTGATCTCACTGAAACAAACTTTAAATGTAAGTTCTCAACCCTTCATGTCATAGAACCCTAAACATGTTGATGCTTTCAAAAATACCACTAAGAAGAGAGAAAAACAAAACAAAAGCAAAAAAAAAAAAAAAAAAGGAAGGGAGAAAGAAATTGTATGTGAATAGAGAGTCAATCAAGCAAATGCATATCACAGAGGGATTTGCTGTTATTAAAAAAATACTCCAGGGGCCGGCCCAGTGGCATAGTGGTTAAGTTTGCACACTCAGCTTTGGTGGCCTGGGGTTCACAGGTTCAGATCCTGGGTGCGGACCTACACACTGCTCATCAAGCCATGTTGTGGAGGAAGACTGGCACAGATGTTAGCTTAGCAACAATCTTCCTCAAGCAAAAAGAGAAAGATTGGCAACAGATATTGGCTCAGGGCCAATCTTTCTCACCAAAAAAAATCCAACAACAACAAAAACCAAATTCTAACTTAAAATTTACTTGCCTAACAAAATCTCTGTATTATTCCTAGAGCTGAGAACCCTTACAGGCTACTCTTTATAAGTTCAGATCAGGTGAGAACACCAGTAATTTCACTTTAGAACTTAGTTTCCCTACATTGCAAGTTCTTCAGTTGAAAAATACAACATACCTCGCTGAATGTGGCCCTTGTGCATTTACTACGGCAGGTAAAGACTCACGGGTGCCGTCATATGCAAAACACGCTAGAGGAAACTGTCTCAGTCTAAGAACAAAACACTCCATGCAAATATGTCTTGTTCTTCGAAATACACAGTAGTAGCTTTTCTAGTTACAACTTTCCTCGTTCTATTTCTGAATTGATTAAAGAATTATTCAAGTGTTTAATATCATACCCTCTCTTTGATGTGCTCTTAAATCTAGATTAAGGAAAGACTTTGGAAGAAGTGGGGCACAGGGATGTCTCTGAAGGGCCCAAATATCCCCTGGGATTCAGAGAATAAACATTTCCATTTGCATGTTTCCTAATGCTTTTAGAGATGATAAAATTCTGAAATTCGTTTATTTTTAAAATACATGCTTGAGGAAGGCAATCTCAACATGAAATACATGGAAATAAAAATTAGAAAACCTACCAACAACTCATATATTTGTCCCTTTAATATTTAAAAGGATAATTTAATTTGATTTCACAGCTTACACCACATTGGTTTGCTAAAACGGTCCTCAGGCAAAACTGTATGTTCCTCTCCATTAGGATAGAAATGTGATTCAAGAATAATGCTGTAATTCAACAATAATGTTCTGATTTCTGTGGATGCTCTGGTCTGTTTTTAATCAAAAGGAGACAACGATCACAGTTTCAGTGAGAAACAATAAAGCTACCCTTCGCCTACCCTTGGTTTGAGTCCAGAGTTGGTTTTGAAATGTGACATTCACTTCTAGTTGTGGTTAATCGTGGTTTAATTGTGAGAGAAAGAGCTTGAAGGAAAATTTCAGTGAAGAAAGCGATTAGTTTACCGTTCCTGTTTCTCTCTGTGGTTCCCTATATTTCTCCATCTGTTCCATCACTAGCAACTCCCCTGTTATAAGTTAAGATTTAAACTCGTCTAATGATTCCTTTCTGGGACCCTAAAATCATTTGTCAGGCTCTCCTATTTATAAAGTTCAAAGAAGTTTTTCATTCTCAAATGTAAGATATTTCTGAACACTAAGCTATGTATGTCTAATATAAAAGTGAATTATTCATCAGCATTGGAAAGACACAGCAACAACTTTCATATACACTTGGTCTCTGGTTGTTTGATTTTCAAAGTAAAAAAATAGTAAAATTACCTAGTATCTTTAAGCAGAGTGGTGACCCCAATGTCAAGTTGACACAAAGTATAAGAGTCAGCAGGAAGAGCAGGTGGTAAGGACCATTGCCCTTCGTATAAGGACAGCAGGTAGGGAGCCATCGGGAGACACTTAGGACTTCCAGCAATGATCAAGAGAATGTAAGTGACCTTCAGCTCCAGAATAAGTGCAACAAAGACTGAGAGGGCCATGAGATGGGAGAATGAATGGGTAAAGTCAGGCTGACTCAAGAATAAGAGACCAGTAACAGCCAATATGCCAAGGATGATGGAGCACAAAGACAGAAAGAGCCTGGTTTCCTCACAGTAGAAAAACAGAAAGAGCCTGGTTTCCTCTCAGCACCACTGGGCAGCTGAACTTAAGATAGCAAGTACCTATCTTCAGATCTTTTATAATGTGATAAAAAATAAAACCCTATATTTTTAAGCCACTGGTCATTAGGATTTACCTTCCTTAGACCAAACGCTTTCATAAATGATAAAACACTGAAAGTACCTGAGGCCATCTGCCTTCATTTGGAATGCACTATATCTTCTATGTAAAATGATTACCTGTCACACTGTAGAGAATACTTGTGAAAAAAGAGAATCCTGTGCTGTAATATTTTAGATAAATGAGATGATACTGCACAACACTAGAAGGAACTGGGTACCAAGGAGGGCAAATTTCCAGCTTCATCAGTATTTGTAAAATACTATCAAATTACCAAAACGCAAAATGCCCTTAATCAAAAATATGAGCATAAGATCACAGGATAATACCTACACTCTTTACTATTTGCCATTTGGGATTATTATTTGTTTACTTGACACATACTTACTGAATACCTACTATGTGCCAGACACATCACAGATATCCATCACTCTAGACCCCACTGGTGGACCACGGTCTAGAATGTGATGGCTTTCATCTATATGACATACCATCCTCTGATTACACACAACAAGGATATTATAGCATACAATTTACGTCCAAGCCAATAGAGTTTTGAGAGTGAAAAAGAGTACCAATATAATTAATTACATCAGAACAACAGGTGTTAGTCGAGAATGATCCAGACCAACTGGGGAATGCGGTTATCCTGATTTTAACACAAAATACATAAAGAGAATATCAATAGTTTGAGAATTGTTCTGGAAAATATTAACAAGTATTAATTTTTTCACAAAATAATTGATAGTGAAGAAAAGATAGATATTAGTTGAAAAAATTTTCAGCTTAAGGTGCATATGCACTTGTAACTAAATAAAATGCTTTTATAAGTACTACTTTAATTTCTCTACCTACTTCTGGTTTAGAAATACAACGATTCTTAATTTAAATAAAGGATGCACTGCTCTAGATATTAGGTAACTTCAATTCTCGGCCAAAGGCTGCCTTGGATTTCCTCAGATGAATAATGTCATCTTTTTGTGTTCTAGTATTAATTTTAGGTATAAAGGGAGAGGCTACGGTCTGTCATTTATCTACTGTTCAGAGGGATAATTACAATTAATATCTCCAAAAGTTATCTGAGAAATATTATCATATATTTAACTACATACTTTCCAACAATATCAGATAAATTAATTTACTCAAGGTATAAAACAAACAAGACCAAATTTATTTACAATCCTACTAGAAAACACGCATTTTTAAAAATTATAGTTCCACATAAGAGGAGAAAAAAATTAGTGGGCTGAAGTAAACGCGCACACCAGAAAGAAGTGAGTCCCAAAAGAGCACAAGAATCAAAGAAAGACATCACTTTGATAAGCACAGGTAAATAGTAAAATAACAGAAACAGAATAAAAGTATATTTCTAGCCTGGAGACCACACCTCAACCAATGGAGAGAAAACAGCTTTGGCGAGGCACCCTTTTTAACCAGCATGCAGAGACCCCCCAGCTGTCGTGACTGTGGCACAGCTGGCCCTGTAGGCAGCTGCCCTTGGGTGATGTCAGTGCGTAAGGCCAGCGGAATCAGGGAAGACAACACTCGTTCCTGTTTCTTTGAAATGGAATTGCTCAAGCCAGAGAAGGAAGAGTCAGATATAAAAACGAGCATGACTTGGAGATGAGACCTGCCCATTCTGTATGGTGCCCAAGTGAGCTATTTCTACCTCTGTGGTAAAACTTCTGTCTGCAAACTGCAGCTCCTGCTGCAGAGACGGCTGCCAAGATAGAGATGATGTCGTGCGTGGATTGTTCAGAGCACACTTGTGTCTGCGAAAAGGACAGCTGGGGGAATACACATCCTTGTCACTGGGGCAATGACGTTTGTATGAACTCAAGTGTAATAAGTGACTCGAGAAAATGGATAGGGGAAGAAAGGAAGGGTTTTCAACAGCCACGAGGGCAGCTCCAAGCGTGTGGGAGAAGCTTCCTGTGTGAACTCTATGCCTTCAGTATCCTAGGACAACACACCAGGGCTGGAATCAGGCAATTTCTTACACACATCATTCCAGAATCCCCACGGAGAAATCTATGAAAGGCTACTAAAGCTGCATCAAATATGTGGATACTGCATCATTGATAATTCTAAAATGTGTGAAACGCTTACTCATGACCACACAGAATTCTGGGGACTACTAAAAGAACTGAGATTTGATCTCACTTGGTGAATTAAGGACCATTTTATTTATTTTTTAAATTATTTCCTTTAAAGACATACTGCTATCATTCATATACTCTATCTTGTTTAAGAAAAAAAGCCACATGAAACAAAAATGTTTCATATTTTTCAACACAATCACATTCCTTGATGATGCATTTTTGTTTCTCATATTTTAATTTAGGTGTAATTTACACAGAATGAAATGTATCAATTTGAAGCGTATTGTTCAATGAATATGAAAATGTATACAGTCTGTAACTAACACACCCATGAAGATAAGGCGCATGTTCATCACCCAGAAATGCCTTCTGCCCTTTCCCAATCAATGTCCCTCATCCAATACTGACAACAGCCAGTTTCAATTCGATCACAATCACTAACACTATTGATTTGTTTGGCCTGTTCTAGAATTCTGTAAAAACGCTTTCCTATGATATGCACTATTTTGCTCAACATAATGTCTGTGTGATTTGTCTAAGTTGCTACGCAAATCAGCAGTCCCTAATTTTTTTTTCTTGCTGAACAGTACAGTATTGCATTGTATAAATGCCAGAAACTATCTATCCATTCACCTGTATTAGACATTTGCATTGTTTCCTGTCTGAACATAGGATGAATAATGCTGCTGTGAACATTTGCGTTTAAGTCTTTGTGTGAACATAGTACCACTTTTACTTCTCGAATAACTTACAAGTACAATGGCTAGCTCACAGAGTAAGCATATATTTATTTTTATAAGAAACTTGCAAATTATTTTCCAAAGCAGTTGTATACTTCATACTCCAACCAGCAAAATACTAGTATTTCAGTAACTCTGCATGCTTGCCAACACTTGGTTTTGTTGGTCTTTTTAATTTTGGCCATTCTAGTGAATGTGTGGTGGTCTGTCACTGTGGTTTTACTTTGGTTTTTCTTTATGACCAAAGATAGTGAGCAAAATTTCATGTTCTTATTGGCTTTAAGTTCTGAAAAAATCTTTCAGTCTAGGGCAACCACCAAAAAAAACAATAGTATAGCTGATATGCTAAGAAAGGAGAGAAAATGGAATCATATAAAATGGCCAATTAACCACAGAAAGCAGAAAAAAGAGTGGAGGACAAAGATAGGAAAAAAGACCAAGGCCAAAAGAATAGAAAACAATAACAAATATGGCAGACATTAATCCAACTATACAAAAAATCACTTAAAACATCAATAGTCTAAATACACCAATTAAAAGGAAGAGATTGTCAGAGTGGATCAAAAAACAAGACTCAACTCTACGTTGTCTACAAGATATCCACTTTAAATATAAAGACATATAGATTAAAAGCAAATTGATGGAGAAAGATAGGCCATGCTGACACTAATTTAAAGGAAATGGGAGTAGCTATATTAATTTTATACAGCCCAGACTTCAGAGCAAGGAAAGTTATCAGGGATAAAGGAGAGCATTACATAACAATAAAGAGGTCTGTACTCCAAGATGACATAACAGGTAATCATGGACAAAGAGAACAGACCCAACTTCAGCCAGACTAGCATAGAACCAGGAAACGAATGCTCACAAATCTAAAGATAAAGATGGCATCACTTAGGATGGACTTGGTCAGACAGGGAAACAGCAAAAGGAAAGTCCTAGCAATAAAAGCTGGTGGCAAACAGCTATAAACTGGGACAAGGAGGAGAGACAGTTTAGCCAACGGACTGAGACCCAGTATAGAAGATGGGTGGATGGGTTCACAAGGAACACAACTGACACATTTCTGAAGCCACTTGCAAGACATGCCTTCTCAGAAAGGAAGGATCAGACTAACTTAGACTGATGCCGTTAGAACAGCTAAGCAGTCTAGTTCTCCTTGTTCTGACTCCATGTTCATGAAACAAACTTTTAATGGTCCACTCACTCCCCAAATGATGCTGACCACACAGCATGCCGACATTCTGATGCTTGTAACTAGAATACACATTTGCAGATCAATGAAATGGAATTCCAGTTTTATACCTCAACCACATGAGCTTGGTTAATAGGATTTGACTTCTGAAAAAATGAATCCATTTTCATTTGCTTTTGAGTCTGTGAAGCCAATGACCAAACCCTGGACTGTAATAAACTCAAGGAGAGGCCTCTTGGAAAATGACTTCCCTTTAAAAGCTCCCACTCCTGTGTGATCAGTTTAAATTCCAATTCATATTTTAATTATCCTCACAATACACAGTCAGCAGTTTTTTCAAATAATAAAATATCCAAAATACATATAAAGTGCACATAAAACAAACAAAAAAACACATACATTTTTCTACATTTCTTCTCTCAAATATAAATTTATCCCAAACTACATTTCTGTTTTTAAATATAAATTTATTCCAGATAACACTTCCTGGGTTTTGAAACTTTTAAAAATTATTTTTACCTATGTGATTGATTATTAAGGTTGAGCGATCCGGTCTGGTACATCTCTTCCAACTGTTTCCTATTTCCAAAGTACAAAGCGAGGTCTGTGGCAATGATGGCTTTGCGGATGATCTCAAGCACCTGTTCGTATTCACTGGAGCTCAGGGTGGAGAAGATATTGTGCCCTTCCAACTACGGAAAACACACAAAAACACACCACCAATAAGGAGGAAAAGCTCTAACCTTACGACATTTTCAGTTACTCGAAACAATATAGTCAGTCAATGGCATTTGGCACACAAGTGACAGGTTTTGAGGGAACAAAACAAGAGTTTGAAATGACTAATGAAATTAACATTTTGGTTTCTCTTTAAGCTACAACAATGAAGCTACCACTTCAATGAACTATTTAAACTACAATAACAGGATTTGCTGCCACAAGATCCCAGCGATTTAAATATATACCTAAGTTTTGGTTTTTCTAGTAAGTAATTAAAGGACTGGAAAACAAAATATTTAAAGAAAAGACTTTTCCTCTTAAACGAATTAAAAACTTTCGTAATTTTTATATTATACTGGAAATTAATGGGCTTAAAAAGGCATCTGTATCCTGGTCCATTTCAGCAAGACTAATGAATAATGACTTACTTTTCTGTATCCTGGAAGAAAACGGTCCACGACCTCAAAAGAAAGGTTATTTAGGCATATTAAAAACTCTCCCTATAGGCAAGAACACTTTTAGAGAAAATATAAATCACTGAGGTGTAAAAACTGTAGGGCCATCCTCTCGTCTCCGTCCTCATGGGAGATGGGGCATAGCTAGCAGATAACCACCCAAAAAAGGACCCAAATGTCAATCATTTGGATTCTAGTATCTCAGAATTATTCTTCTGTCTGTGAATCTTTTAAAAACTTCACAGTAATTTCTTTTGTTGAGAATATTAAGTTTTTATTTGTAATTGAGATAAAATGGGTCATTTTTTTCAAACAAAAAAAGGTTGAGATAATTAAAATGCATTCAATTTATGGGTTTGCCAATTATTTTTTAATGATTTCCTTATTAGTCAACAAAGTCCTAATATCACTTAATTTTTAATAATTCTCACTTTTAAGCTGAATTTATTGCCTGACAAAATACATTAAAAACTTGAAATTATTAAGGGATATTTCTTTACAAAATCAGACATCTCACTAATAAATTGCTTCCTGTTACTCTGAAATAGGCTGTACGTGCACCCTCAGTTTTCAATCATCAGAATCTTTCTGTACGATTTACTCTTAAGGTTTTACAAATAGCTAAATTATTCTATGATAAATGCAGCAAACTGAGTTAGTTCTACTTGGTTATTTTCCTGACGTTAATAAGAGTAAGGCCTTACATTTGGAGAACGCTGTAAGTTTACAACGCACTTTCAAACACATAATTTCACCTTGAAATTATAAAATTTAAATAAGTCTTTGATATCTATCTGAAATGAAGTATTTGTTGAAACATTAAGATTTTTCTCTAAGGAGAAACTGTAGTGCTTACAGACATTGGTCATTTCAGTACTTTTCAGTACTGCAACCTCATTTGAAGCAGCTTTCGTGAATACAACAGAGCCAAAGAGGTGGGCATGTTAAGGGTGGACTGCAGCTCAACATGGGGCAGAGCCGTCTAAATGTTCAGAGTTCACCACGTGGAATATGCACGAGATGCTGTGGGTTGAGACGGTTAAGCAGAGGCTGGTTAGTAACTGATGGGGACAAGGGGAGGGGACTCAAGCCCTGGGAAGGTGGTTGAACCTTTCAAGCCCCTTCCAGCCTCAACTCTCCAATTTACTGCAAAAGTTATGAGAAGGAAGTCTTTTCTCTGGCTTCTGCTGTGAAATCTGCTTTGCTTTGCTTTGATCATAACTCAGGTGAAATAACTGGCCTCTGCTTTCACACGTAACGCCTTGTGACCTGTGCTCCCACCTCATAAATGTGTTTCAAATTGGAGCGTGTTTGGTTGGTACCCATGCACACATCTGCTATCTGTAGGTCGCCTAAAGAGCATCCACATGTAATACATATTTATATGCTTTTTCCTCTTCTGTCACAAAGAAACCATTAAATGATAGTGTATAAAAAACTTTGCAGCATGCTGTTGAAATTTCTTTTTGTAGATCTCTCTAAAATAGGGAGACTTCATAGCCTGGGTCCTGTAAGTTCGCTCGGGGACCACAGAGTTATGAAGTCAGTGCAGCCATCTCTAATACGTCGATGTGTCCTCCCGAAGTACACATTTTCGTCAGATTCTGAAAAGTAGCCATGATCTAAGACACATTAAAACCCATTTTACAGGATCTGCATATTCTGCTGGCTATTTCAGATTCACTATTTCTTTTATTACTTTTCAATATTAGAGAAAACATGGTGGAAAAAGTTCAGTGCAGGACCTTTACAATGAAAAGTTGTAACTAGGACACTTTTCCCGCCTCCTTCAATATTTCACAAGAGTACAGGGGATGAATGAAGAAATGAACAATAAACAACCCCCTTTTCTTCAAGAGAATCTGGTATATATTTATCTGCATTCTGCTCCTACCAAAACACAAGAAAATAAAGAGAAATACAAACAACTACACCCACCAGATAAACAGCTTAAAATCTTTTTAAAGCTCCAATCTCGCATTACTTAACAACACAGTAAAACCTCATAAAGTAATATAATACTTTAATATCCCAACTGATGAATGTATTATAGTTAATATCCCAGGTTACACTGTTTGAAATTTATATTAATTCAAGACAGGTGACACCACTTTGCCTCAATCAAGCATGAAATGATAAGCATTGTATACCCAGGAATGTTCCTAAAACCCAACAAAGGGTGAGCAGCATATAATTCTCTCTCTGTGGAAGCATTTGCGTGGGCTCCGTTTGTAGATGCTGAGATGTGCGAGGTATTAGAGAACGGAAACAAGGCTGAACTTGGCTCTGGCGCTGAACACCTCTTCGGGGACTCACCCCGAGTGGATGATCTTTAGGGCCCCTCCCAGCTCCCAGCCCTGATGATTCTAAGCATTTTCAGCATCTTCCTTCATGAATGGAGCATTTCTTTCTCGCCACAGCTGTATCTTTCCCAACACGCAGGGAAGAACATGCGTCTTTATTTAGCAGATGGCGAGTCCGCAGTCTTTCCCTTTGTGTAAGGATATCAGTAGTTTAGTACCAACTATAGCCAAGTTAGTTCATTCTTTAAGTAGTTGGTAGTTCAGTGGGAGAGACGAGCATGGAAGCACACAATAGAACAGAGCGGGACGGCGTCTGGGATTGAGATAAGTGGAGGACTATGGAAGAACACGGGAGGCCTTTCCAGGGTGGGGACGTGATTTCTGAAGGGCCCGGAGGAGAAGCAGGAGCAGGAGAATGTGTACGTGGAGCAGTGTGAGACCACACGTGTTTGGTGGGAGCTACCGAAATTTCAGTACCGCTCAAGCAAATTGTCTGAATGGAGAAATGGTGGGAATTAAAGGAAAGGAGTTCAAAAAAGAAAAGGTCTTAGGACAGAACTGAAGGACTATCTGAAAGGTGATAAGGAGCCACTGATGATTTTAGGTAAGGTGGTGACATGAGGAGGTCTGGTTTCAGAACCATGGCTCTGGTGACAAGGTGGACTGCAGGAAGGTCAGAGTGCAAGGCAGGAGGGCATCCTGGTCCATCTTTCCTCGGCAAGCTTTTAAATTATTATTAATCATGACTAATTCCCCCAAGCCCTATGCTGCTTAGCTCTATAAAAGAGATTCTTATGGGAGGGCCTTGGAGCTCAGATTTCCATACCTTCATGCCAACTAATCCAGGCCTCACCTCCCAGCACACCTGCCCCAGTTGGGTTGTAAATCACCACTACAGGAGGCCACAGGCCGAGGCTGAATCATTCAGGGGCTTTTCGATGAAAAAAGTCAGTGACATAACTAATTATATCAAGCATTCACAACCACGATGCCTTTACAAGACACATGATACTTACTGTGATATTTAATCCCCTACTGCATCAAATCACATACGAGGAAGCATGATAGTATTGTAATTAAGAACCCAAGTTTTGGAGTCAAGCAATTCTGGCGTTTAGTCCCACTCTGCCACTGACTAGCTATGTGACAATGGACAAGTTCCTTAACCTCTTTGATGCTCACTACTCTTATTTGTGAAACAGAAATGAATAATAATATTTATCTCATAGGATACTATAAAAGTGAAATGCATTAACGTGCCAAATTCTTAAGTTTCTGGTGTATATGAGTACCCAATAAATGACGAACTAATTATGATGATGGTGGTGGTGGTGATGATGATAAAATCTACCAGTATAACTTCTCCAGTTAGAGTGAAGGGAGAGAGAGAAGGAGAAACAAACGGATATGCCTAGAAATGAATTTAGTGGTCAAAGTCCATTTCTATTCTGAATATATCTGTAGAAAAGGACAGATTTAAGCTGGCCTCTGTGCCATACATTTTAAATTATTAGTAAAGGTGGAGTTGAATATAGTTTTGCTGTAACTGTAATAGACAACACTAAATTCTACCTAGCACAGACAAAATGGAAGAACGCTGTAGCTGTGTCACAGAAATGTTACTGCTGTAAAAAGTAAGGAAAATGTCATAAGATCCCAAATTGTCGGTCTAAAGATAACTTTCTTAAACTCTCAACATGTTTCCAAAGCACTAGATAATCCAAGCTTAATGGAATATCCAGCAAGTGTTCTCAATAATAACAAGAATCATTCCTAATTGCTTTTTTTCCTAAAATTTTGACTTTGGAGTACTGAACATGGGATATTCACAGAAGGCGAAAGACAAAGAGTAGCTTGAAGGCTCAAAATAATCATTAACATCTCATTAGGAAAGAGAATAAATTGATTTAATATTCCAACACTAATGGTTCTGTCACAATTGCTAAGAATATGTGGGTAAGTTTTAGATAAGAAAACACAGCTTACCTACTGTCTTAAATGTCACAGTCCACGCAAATAATCTCCTGAGTTAAGGGCGTTCCACTCACGTCCCGCGACTGAGCCATGTAAACCCTTTGTCCCGAGGAGACAGAACTACTCACATTCCCCTAAATAAAACTTGCAGTTTTCAGTCTCCAAACTTTGAACACATTGTTTTTCCCACCCTGAATTCTCTCATATCCACATTTCCACCTTCGTGCGACCACTTCTGCTCAAAACAACAGATCCAGCTAGGCCTACAGTTCCGGAAATGAATGAGGTACAGTGACTGTCCTCATCAGGCTTATAATTCAGAGGAGACGAAAGCTAAATCACAAACAGAAAATCTCAGTATGATGGGGAAAAAACCAAGATGCGTGTATGTTCCAGGGGCGCAGGGGCACACTGCTGTCCCAGCTATGTGGAAATGTCATAAAATAATTTCACTGAGCTGAGCCGTTAAATAAGAAGTTGGTCTCAGAAAGGCTATGGGAGAATTACACGTGGAGGGAATCTACATGATGGCACAGAGTTAAGAAATAGTCTGAAACTACAAAAGTACATCAGGTACAGTAGTCCTGGAACAGGCAGAGGCCATTCATAAGAGACAGGACATGGGAGCCACTGATGACTTTTAAACAGAAGAATAATATGTTCAGACTTATATTTGCAAGATGGATTTGAGAGACACGCGCTTGGAGAAACGGTGACCAATGAGGAAAAAAAAGCAGTGAAACAGACAAAATATGATGAAAGCTGAATTTGTGATGTCAAGTAGGAAAGGCCCTCCATGGACATGTAGGAGGCTGCAGTGGTCAGAGAGGCCAGCTTAGCATTTGCTACAGAGGCCAGGTGGGAACTTCCTTTCTCCTGAATGCCCATCACAACCTAGACCCAGCGACGGGCCCCAGTCACCAGGAAAACAGTCCTGATGCCCAGAACTAAGTGACAACGGGCAGCTCAGCAAAAGATAAGAATGCAGATTCATCTTTTCTCTAGATGTTCTGATACTTCTCCTTACTTCATTCATGACTTAACCTCCTCTCACTTCCCAGTCAACAAGGACCGCCCACTGCATCTTTCTCACTGTGACAGAAGTGAGGGCAAGCTTTGATCAAATATACACTCTTCCTGTCTCTCTGCACTGTGAATATTTATGAGCTTGTGTGTGTGTCAGCTTGAGGTTAACTTTTGAATGTATTTTCTCATTCTGTTTGTTGATGTTGCTATGGTCAGCCAGGGGTACTCATCTCCATGAGCCCTCCAGTTGTCCAGATTTTCCAATAGGTAACAGGGGCAGCCAGTTGGATTAACCAAACTATGACAGGCAGCCATCCACATACAGATTTGAGAAGGCCTTATGGGGCGCTATTTCCAACATTATAGACTGAGTTGTTTATCTTCTATCCAGCCATGTTGCCTGAGGATGGACAGTTCCAGACCCATGACCATCTGTGTAGCAACAGTGATAAAGACTATCTGCAGAGATCAGGACGGCAATAGGCCAAGACTTTCATGACAGTAAACACTGTGGATAAACAGAGATAACAGAGGTCTCCATGTGATGTCACGATACATTGTACTGTCTCATAGTTTGGTGACTAGAAGTTGGAATTTTGGCTGTTACCCAAGGATATCACCTTCATTGGTCAAGTCTGGAGGTGTCTTGACAAAACAGAAATTTGGCAGGACCTGGTGACTTGTTGTGGGGGTCAGTGGGAAGGGAAATGATGACTCTAAGGTGGCCCACCCATGCGGTTGGGTGAATGAGGCTGCCACCACAGGAGATGTGAAATGACGTAAGCAAAATTTTGGCCACGACGAATGCCAAGTCCAAGCACTTGGAAGTGGAAGTCTTACTGTGCCCTAGGCTGACAGACAGACGTGGGAGCCCTAGCCTATTGGAGACGGCGAGGACCCAAGATGGCCGGCTGGTGGAGCCGTGAGAAGAGCAGGGTGGGGGCAGAGCTCCTGACATGGACTTTCCTCATTCACTACTCACCCTGGGCTTAAAAGGGGTGTCGGCAGCTGGGAGGCGCTCAATAAAGATGTTGGTTATCGAACTCAATTTCAAGGGGCAGTTAGATGGATCTGAGAAGAAATACTCAGTGGAGTATCATGAGCAAAAATGTAAAATCAGTAGAGAGTAAAGAAATTTCCAGAAAAGGGAGGAAACCTTTCCTGAATCCTCCAGCCCATGGAGATGGGGCCATCTGTTCATGGCCCCAATATCCTTCTCCCTGTCACAGCTCACACAAGAGGTTCTGGTCAATCCAGGATACAGATTCAGTTTTTAAATGGTGAGCTTTTCACCTGAATCTATGGCAATGCCCAGTTCCTCTTCCTGGCTTTCTGCTCCTATAATCTACTGAGTACCTGCTCTTCTCTAAAGACAGGAGAACAAGTGCGTCCTGTTACTGCCTCACCAGTGACTGGAATCCCATCCCTCACACCTGGAATCTAACTGTTCTCCAACAACTTTCTGGATGCCAAAAGCTTGCCTGATTTCCAGTTACTGTGTTTTGATCATTCTAAGAACATTGCATTATGTAACGTGGAACCCCCGCATTGCTGAGGGTTTGCTGAAAAATGAGACAAACCACTCTGAACCTCCATGGGTGATGGCAGCAAATGGGGGCAGTCATTCTGGGGTGGTCCAGACCCTCTCCACTCCCACCTGCTTTGTATCCCTGCTAGATTACATGGTTTATTTTCTCTTCCACTCAGCAGCAATGGACTTTGCAATCCTGCTCTATTTCAAAACTAATTCTATTACATTTAAAATGAGTTCTCCAATGAAATGTTATAAAGGCTATGAAAATTCATTTGCAGATTCAATTGCTAGAGAGGTTGTCATAGTCGAATGTATGAATTCATTTAGGACATGGGGTGCTAATTCAGGGAGTCCTAATGATTTCTAAATGGAGGCATCCTGATGTCATTTCTGACATTTACCCTTCTTCCTGTACAAATAAATAGCCTCACATGATGGGTAAGGGCAAAGTAATTATCAACTATCACAAAGTTCTGTAATGTTTGTCTCTTTACAAAAAGCATGCATTATATATATGTGCGTGAGTGTGTGTGTGTATATATGTGCATACACATACACACACACACACACAGATACACACACACACACAAATATATATATACCCACACACATCTTTTATCCTACTTAAGTTTCTAGGTGTGTCTTTACGTATCTATCCATCATCCATCCATCCATCCACGTATCATTAAAAAAAAAAAAAGGATTGGTGTTTAGAGAATATCAGGAATGCTGACTAATTGCTTTCAGGAAGAGAACCAGGCTGTGAGCAAGTGGAACATTCAGCTTCCTGCTGGATATGGCTGGAAAACGACTAAAATAGCTCCATATTTAAAATACCTCTTGCTTTTACCCAGCAGGTAATTCGAATAGTGCTTACAACTCAGCAAGTCCATCATTTACCTTCTTGGCCTTCAGGAAATGGGGCCTGGACAGGTAAGTTTTGCTGGGTTTCACAAAGGTCCGAGCATGCAGTCCTACCAATCACTTGGGTGGTGAGAACAAATGAGGAGCCAGGAGGAGAAGCTGATGGAAGGGAAAAAATCCTGGGTGTCCAGAGGGAGGCCTGGGTTACACAAGAAAGTACACCAAGTGGCAGCATCTTTCTGCTTCACAACTTGCCTTCTGCCAGGTGCTGCTAAAGGCGCTGCCAGGGTTTTGTTAAGCAACCCTGAACATGAAAATCCTTCCTTAGACGCATAACCAGGAGACCTAAGGAGGATTTCTCTTCCTCCTCTGAGGTGCTGACGGTGAGGGGAAGAAACAGGGTCCACTAATCTTAAGTCAAACGTTTGAGAAGAGCCAAACCATCATGTGGCAATAGCTACCTTGTTGAGTTTGAGGAAAAATGTTTAAACTGAAGAAGGAGCATATATATCTTAAAGTGAAGTGACATCTGCCACACAGATCAATCACCAAGAACACCTTAAAAGCAAAAAAACGAAAAACTAAACACGTTGAAGGGAAAATAAAACGACTTCAATGCAAGGTTTTAAAACCATAGATTTGCCTAACTTTCAAGATTTATTGTTCAATACATTCTGGTTCAAGAATATGACAATCCACATAAATTAAATTAAACCATGTGAAACAAAATTTGCCTCATGGGATCATGTACTTAAAAATCAAATGTGACTCCAGAACACATATATTCAAAATCTTCACAAAGAATTCTTTATCCAAAAACCGAAATTATCTAATGGTGGCTATAAATATAAGGTTGTACAATAAAACGTAGCTACTGGTTTTAAAGGGAGCCAAAACAAGAGCCGTCTTTTACTTATAAAGCATTAACGTCTCTTAGAAGATCATTCTGACACAGCAGAGGTGGCAGGCACGCCTGCGGCCCTGGGTCACCTCACCTGGAGGATGGACACCGTCTGGGAGAAGTGATGCTGCTCCATAGTAGAAGTGGAATAGAGAGCGGCAAGAGGATGATCAAATTTCTGCAGGTAGCTGTTACTGAAGCCCCGGTGGTCCAGGTCGTGACACAGACACGCGATTAGCAGTCCTTTGCGCTTAAGAAAATAACACAGTGCACATAGTTCAAAACAAAGGAAGAGGATGCAAGGAGACTTACAGCTTACCATTCCTATCACATTAACTTCTGCCATTACTATCACCAACATCCTCATGAATCCTTGAAATTCCAGTTAATCTCACTTCTTTCTTAACCTCCTTCTTTGTTTTTCTGCTTATGAACTTGGCAGTCAAATTATTCTTGAGCTTTCCTGCTCAACTCTGGGAAAAAGTGCAGGTGGCATCAAATTAAAGCGAATGTTTCAAAGAATTACAGACGAAGCAAGTCTGTACAAGGAGAGGATGGTTTCGGTTCTTCGTTCAAAAATCTATTCAACTGTAGATTCTAACAGTGTACTGTCATCATCAAAAAGGCATGTGAGAAAATGGTAAATTATATAGAAAAGGAGAAACAGCTGAAGGGGATTAGCAGGAGGCAGGCGGGGTCCTAAATAAAGCAGTCAGGGCGGGCCATGGGAAGTCAGAGGTGAGCAGAGATGGGAAGCTGAAGGAGAGAAGCAGGAGGTTCTGAGAGAAGAGCACTGGGGTGGGTGGGGAGGCAGTCAGAGCCCGTCCCTGCAGGTGAGCCTGCCCTGAGAGTCAGAGCATCAGGAAGGTGGCCCAGGGGCTGCAGAAGAGGAGGACAGAGAAAAGGATGGAGAACAGAGGCTGAAAACCTTAGAGGCCTTCTACTCTGCACGAACCAGGGAATGATTATAGGATTTTTAGCAGAGCGGTGACATCATCTAACTCGCATTTTTTTACAGATCACCATGCTGGCAACTGTATTAAGAACAGACTCCAGGAGGGTAAGAGAGACCAGTGGGAAGGCTTTGAAGTAACTCAGGCAAAATGTTATAGAAGCCTGGACCAGGATGCTAGCAGTGGAGGTTACGAGACGTGATTAATCTCTGGATGGATTTTGCAGGCAGAATCAACAGGATTTTCTGGCAGCCTGTTTGTGAAAGGAAAGAAGGGCAGGACAATGGAGAGGGGAAAGGAGGAATCAAGCATCACTCCAAGGTTTTCGGCCTTAGAAACAGGACTGTCACCGACTAAGATGGGGAAAGTTGTGGGTGGAGCCGGTCGGAGGGGATAGGACGGGAGTTTGGTTTTGGGGCGAGGTGAGATGTCTAATTGACAGTCAAGGGAGACTTTGAGCAGACAGTTGGCTATTTAAGTCTAACCTTTAGGGGATGGGTCTCTGCTGGAGAAAGGAAATGGTCGGTGTACCTATGGCATTTAGGGCTACAGGACTGGATGAGCTCACCAAGGTTGTCCTGTGAGGTCTGAGGAGGTCAAGGGTCTAACCCTCAAAAGCCCAACTTTAAGAAGTCTGAGTGAAGAGAAAGAGTCTCTCAAAAAAAACCCCCAAAACATTCCAAAACCCAGCAAAACTAAGGAAGAGCAGCCAGTGCGGCGGGAGGTGTCCCAGGAACCAGCTGAAGACAGCTGCTCACAGAGGAAACACTGCTCACCAACCCTCAGAGCTGGCAAGACGCAGGGCACTGGGGACCTGGACCACAGCATTTTCTGGTGTGTGAGGGGCAGGAGCCTGATCGGAGGTGATTTCAGAGAAAAAGGGAGTAGAGGAACTGGAGCCAGCCAGTACGGCAACTCTTCCAAGGGTTTGCAACAAAGAAGAGCTGAGAAATCAGGAAGGAGCTGAGCAGAGAGGCAGATGGAGAGTGTATGTCAAGAAGGAAGTAACAAACAACAGCATGCTGCATGCAGATGACATGGTCCAACATGCTAATGGAGGAGACAGGAAGAATTGCTAGGGCAGTGACCTCAAGAGTGGTGGTGGTGGACAAGGTCAAGTGGAAGGGTCACCTCTGGGTAGGAGCCTAGGGAATCCTTCTGGAGAGTCTGTTAAGGCAGAGTCCCCTGCGGGCAGATATTGATGGGGGTTGCAGGAGAGTCTGCAGAAATCCCCACAAGTTTATCTGTGCCTATCTGAGTCCTGTTCCTTCTTTACCCTCATTGAGAAGAACTAGTTTCTCCTGCAACCCAAGGGGTTGGGAGGTCTCTCAGAGCACCCACACTCCTAAACTGATGATATCTGCTGTTATCAAGCCTACGCACTCAGTGGTCTTAAGATAACTGAATTAGCTGTGTTCTGAGCATCATTTATTTGGGGGCTGTTTCCATATTTTATGCTGCTGTGTCAACCATGATGAATCTGGTAAGAAATGTCAAGGTTTTAAAATCTTGCACAACAGACAAAAGCTCTTATGCACATCTTTCCAATTTTTTTAACCAATTTTATTTTTATTGATGTTATGTTCAATAGTTTTATTAAAAATATCCCAGAAACAAGCATGTGAAAATAATTTACAAAGTAAAGAATTACCTTTGTTAAACATTTTCATTTAACAAGATCAAATAATAATTTCTAGTAGCTCTAATAGAGATATAATATCCTCTTTATACAATATATTTTAAATATTTAACATATGTTATTTTGGGTTTACGTTTAGCCAAAAAGACTTGAGTCTTTGGAAAAATATAATGATATAACTTTGAAAATGAATTGGAACTGAGAGTCAATATATAACAAAATTTTTCTCACTTATCTTAAAATTTTCCATTTTCAAATATAAATTTCAATGCAATTTGAAAGTGTAATTCCTATAACTCTCAAACTCACAGGCTATCCTATGGCAAGGAGACAATGAAATTGCTTTCTTAAAAGAAACTGAGTGGAGAAAATCCTGAAAGTCTCAAAAATATGGGGTTCAACAGAATGGAAAATTGTTTAGAAAAATTTATGTGAAAAAAGAACAAATTTCATCTGGGTTTTTTTTTTTTGGTGATAAATAAATTACTTAATAGATTCAGACCCAAGTAAAGATTATTAAAAAAAAGAGAGAAATTTTGACTCCTTCTTTAAAATATTATTGTTTTCTAAAATGTACCTTCCAAATTTCCTGCCCAGATTGTGAATTTGGTCTGACAGGATGGAAAAAGGGCAGGACTGGACCTCAGGGGCACTGGGCTCTAATGTGAATGTGACCTTGGGAAGAGCACAATTTCTTTATCACAGAGATGACAGCTCCCTTCTCTCATGGTTAGACGTCTGCCAAAGCAAGACACCAGTTTTACGGAGGAGAGAAGTTGGGCTCAAGTTAGGGCTTCCATAGGCACCGCCAGGACCGCGCGGAGAGAGGATGCACTTGGTGGTCAGGACGGTCTAGACCGAGGAGCGGCAACAGTTGGGGCTAAGGCGCTCAGATCACCAAGCCCTGGGCCGGGTGTTTCAGGAAGGAGTTCGACAGTGGTGCATAGATGAACGAGGCAGTCCCTAAACCTTCTAACTCTGAGATCTGGAGAGTTTCCAGTATGTAACCAACTCTGGGTATGTAAAGTCAGACAAAGCAGTGAAACATCAGAAAGCCCTTGTTTCCTTCTGCTAGAGGAAATCAAATAAGCATTTATGTCTTAATTGCGTGTAATGCTCTAGGTTCTCAATTCAGTAGGACGTGTCTACACTACCCAGGGCATACGGGCGATGAGAGAAAATCACTTTGTTTACATCCTTTCAGAAAACTTTAGCTTTAATAGGGAAGAGAGACTACAAAAATTAGTGATGCCTTGGGGCATATTTTAATGAAGTTAGAACTTCTGTATCTACTTTCCTTATACAAAATAACAGGATAAATGATTGGGTGGAGCAAACTTTAAAATGTGCCTCTATTAATTCACTGAACCAAACTTTGTCCTGGAACAACACGTCCCATAACCATGTCATAATTGTGCTCCAGACATGGAGGATTAAATTCACTCAGGTTATGTGGAACAGAAGGAAAAAGTGTGTGCACACCCACCTCAAGGTCGGTGAAGAGCCCGTGATTGTTCTGGAGGATGGCGTACATGCAGTGGGCCACTGTGACCGCATGCTTCCAGTTGTGATAGGGGACCCGCCGGTAGTTTTTCTTCACAGACATAATAAAACGACACAACTTTTCAAGCTCAAAGCTGTGTGCAGAAGAAATTGTTAGGAGAGAGACTGGTAGAGAATCAATACATTCTAGGAGAGACCTCTGGTCTAGATACACACACGTCTATACCCTTCCACATGTGCAACCATGGGACTTCTACAAAGACGGATTTCCAAGAGCACTGGAGCCTCACCCCTTCCCTTCTATTTCTCTAGCCAGTTCAGAGAGAAGGAAGCTCCTTAATAGCTTTGCTTCTGATCCATTAATTGGAGCAGGGACTAGAATTAGCAGGCAGTTGCCATCATTAACTCTCATCACCATCCTCACCATTCAGGCATTCCCGATGTCCCACAGTGCTCAACAGACAACATATCATCATCCTGCTCCAGAATATTTTGAGCTAATACTTTCCAAAAAGCATATTCAGATTCACGAACTGTAAATGTGTATACCACAAGGATTTTCTAGATGAGTGATTATCTTTTCAAAATGAATCTAATTTATCATGGTACACTCAAGTGACTAAGTGGCAAAGGACCATATTCAAATCCTGACATAGTACGTGAAAGAATACGACATATATTTTTATCGTACAATAGTATTGTATTTTATTTTATATTATTATCATGTATTTATATGTATTTAAGGCCCTACCAACACTCTCAATGGATTTAAGGCAGCTTACAACAAAAGCACATTAATATAAAACAGGGCTCTTTGAAATACCAAAGAGATGAGTTCATAAAACTTCTAAAAATATATAACCTTCATTTTTTTCTCTAGTGAAATTTTTCAAATATCCTTGAAGTAAAGGGTATCTCATTGTAAGAGTTCCAACTGGTCAAATTCTCAATTGATATCTAAGAAATAACTGGGATTAGTTTTCCTGGGTTTTAAAACAGCAATTTACAAAAGTCACTGAGAGAACTAAGAGAAGACACAGAATTCAATAGAAAAAGAGTGACAATTTAGTTCTAGAGAAACGAGGAGCCTTTATAAGCCATTTAATGAGTCAATAAGTATGAAAGAGAAGAAGAAAATTATTCCTTGCATTCTAAGTCATGTGTGTTTAGGCTGTAAAAGGTCAGACATAAAGTCATGAAAGGCCTCTAGGACAGGCCAGAGTGAGAGGGGAAAGATTTGCAATGAAAGAGGGCCATAATTTAATTACTAATAAAGTTAAAGGCTTGGAATTAGAAGACATGTTTCTTTTACATCTAGTCCATAAATTTGCAAGTTGCTGCAAAATCCATGCATATAATCCAAAGCATACTTTAAAATAGTATGTAATTATGTTGAGTAGTAACCCCTGTGTCTTTCAGTTAAATAACCTAAAGCGGTTTTAACCTATATTTTTATGATCACCTGGTTAAGATACCAGCTTGTTAGCCAAGGGACAGCCATATTGCCAGAGAGCTTGGCAGCCTCTATGGCACGTCTTAAAAGGCTGTGGATTTGTCCAACATATTTAGCATTTTTAAAATTTGAATATTAAAAAAATAATTTATATATGGCATATTTTAAGGTGATTATCAACCAAGAAAGTGGCAAGGCATATAGGAAGGGAGAGGAAGAGGTCACATCACTCAACAGTTTAAAAAAAGAAGCTTTTAGATCTTTCATACCAGGATGTCCCACAGGACCGATGGACCATATAGACAAAAATTCCAGGCCACATATTTTCAAAAGGACCAATGTCAAAATGGAATCTGAAATGAAAAGAAGATGCAGTTTATTCTTAAATATAATTAGGATAAATATGATAACAAGTAAAGAAAGTAATTTAATTTTTTGTCTATCGAGAAACTAGGAAAAATCTGAGAGTTCAGCCATTTCTTTTCCTGGCTTCGCAGTCAACATCTCTGTTGTATTTAAAGGTTTCCAGGAGGAAATTCTACACATTCCCCTCAGAACCTGCTCCAATTTTTAAGCCATCGCTTAATTTTCTATTAAACAATCTGTAAAAAAGGATGTTGTGGTTGTTACCAGAGCAATGAAAAAGTACAAAGAAAAATTATGAATAATACACATATATTACACAGCACATAGATAAGGGTGAAAAAACTTGGGAAAAATTTTTTTAGAGTTGAAAATTATTCTCTCTCGTACTTAAATCGAGAGAAAAATTTCATAAACATAAACATCCAAAGTTATGGACTATTTTTTATTTGCTAATTTAGTTACTAACATTTAACTCGAATAAACAATGGTAAAGTATTAAAAGAAACCATTTTCGTCTAGTAACACTGGTGGTACCAAATGTATGAGTTTTTCACACCAACCAATTCTCCAATCCTTTGCAGACACCGGTTGATATTCTAGAAAACAATTTCTCACCCCACCTGGAGTTGGCATGGACTCCACAGGCTAAGGGCTCAGTCCCACTTGGGATGCCAATTCTAAGTCTAGGACACCCATGCTTCTGGACCACTGACTATAAAACAGAGTTCCCACAACTCCTCTGCAGGTTTGATGACATGCTACAATAGTGCACAGAACTCAGGGAAACACTATCACCAGTTTATCACAAAAGATACAACCCAGGAACAGCCAAATGGAAGAGATGCATAGGGCAAGGTATGTGGAAAGGGTCACAGAGCTTCTGTGCCCTCTCTAGGCAGCCCCCCTTCTATTACTTTCTTGTGTTCACCAACCTGGAAGCTCTCCGAACCCCTTGTTTAGGGTTTTTATGGGGGTTCCATTACATAGGCATGACATTAAATCATTGGCCATTGGTGATTAACTCGATGCCCAGCCCCTCCCCCCTCCCAGAAGGTCCTTCGTGGAGCTGAAAATGCCAACCTTCTCATCACAGGGTGGGTTCCTCTGGCAATCACCCCCCATCCTCCAAGAGTCATTCATTAGCATGAACTCATGTGTGGTTGAAAGACGTTTATTACGGAGAAGAACAGCCTCCCCGTCACCCACATCACTCAGGAAATAACAAGGGTTTTGGGAGCTCTGTGCCAGAAGCCAGCTAAAAGACCAAATACATATATATTTCTTATTATGTCACAATACATACTATTTATACAGAATTAAAAGGTAAACTGAGGGATATTAAACATTGTAAGAGTTTACTCGAGCAAAAATCAATTCAAAGGGGGAGGTGCCAAACCAGAAGTGGTTAGGAGGGCTCCGCAGACAGGAGCTCAGGGAAAGACTTAGACAGAGAAGGTGCAGAAGCAGAGAAAGGACATTATTTGATTGTCTGCAGCTAAAGCCTAGCTGGCTGTGTGTGATGGGCTGTGCTTAGCCTTTGATTTCATAACTTTGAGGGATGGACAGGCTTAGAGTTTGGTTTGACATTCGAGCCACTTCAGTCCAATGGTCTCCTTCTTTAACTAATTCAACAACATTATATTTCCAAATATAAGGCAAGTATCAGCTCTGGGTCACTTCTGAAGATTTTCTGTGTAGTTAAATGGTGTTGGCTTGCACTTATGATGGGAATACAAATTATCCCAGGTCCTACTACGCATACATATTAGCACAGGATTAGAAAACAAAGTGTGAAAGCTAAATTAATGACTACCACATTCTTAAATTTAATTGGTAAATTTAAATTCATACAGAAATGAAAACTTTTAGATATCTGATATTAAATGCCATTTTGAGTATTAACTGTATGGTGTAAAGCGTGCAAAAGACTAATGAGAAAAGCTAACCTTTAGGTGAACTCATTTCAAAATGGTGTTCAGATTTTTTTTTTTTTTGCTGGGGAAGAGTCACTCTGAGCCAATATCTGTTGCCAATCTACCTCTCTTTCTTTTTTCCCTCCTCCCCAAAGCCCTGGTACATAGTTGTATATTCTAGCTGTTAAGTCCTTTTAGTTCTTCTGTATGAGCTGCCGCCACAGCATGACTGCTGACAGACGGGTGGTGTGGTTCTGCGCCTGGGATCCGAACCTGGGCCATTGAAGCAGAGTGCGCCAAACTTTAACCACTAGGCCATCAGGGCTGGCTCCAGATTTTTTTTTTCCCCCAGATAAAGAGATCTCGCCTTCCAAGTTCTATCCTAAAATTTGGAATCACCTCCAAAGAGGAAAATGGCAACAGGAAACTACTGTTGTAATTCTAATTCTATATCACAATCTATTTAGAATTAGATCTAAATAGAATTAGAATCCAATATAGAATCACTAACAATAGATTAGTGATTCTAATTCTGTGACCCACTTCACTCTAAGTTCAACCAAATTAAAAGTCTGTTCCTGAAGACACTGACGAGGCAGGATACTCACAGCTCAATCTCTTTGCAGAGACGCACTGGAAGGTTGAAACGCATGAGGCCCTGCCACTCTTCTGCGGTGCAAATGCTGTGATAGGACAGCTTTTCCATGGTGACCCGGTAAATGCACTCTGAATGACGGATTCTATGATACATCTGGAAAGCAAGTCCAGTAAACACAAAATAAACTACAAGAACGTTTAAAATAGTTACATCACGAAAGTTCAGAATTCGGAGTAAAAGAATCAGAACTATAACTGAAAATACTATTACCATCCATTAACTAACGTCACTATCCATCACCTAATATTACTACCTATCACTATTCATTGCCACATACACTGAAGATACCCACACTGTCACTTTGAAGACACAAAACAGTTGTTAAAAAAATGTTCTCTCTCTTTTAAAAGACTTATTAGATTCTGTAACAAGTGGCTTTTTATCAGACATTATCTCTGGGTAGCGAGATTACTGGGTATTTATCTACCAGTGCCTTGTTCCTGGACTCCTAGCAACCAGAACTGTGAGAAATAAATGTCTGTTGTTTATAAGCCACCCAGTTTACGGTATTTTGTTACAGCAATCTGAACGGACGAAGACAGCAACTAAATGAGTCAGGAGTTAAGATATTTTTTCTACGTCTCCTTTAAAAAAAATATTTAGCCTAATTTGGTGACGTCAAAGTCCTCTAGCCAGGAAGTCTCTAAAATGTTTGTGAAGACCTTTGTCAGCAAAAGAATTCTGGAGATGCACTCTCGACAAACGTAGACTCCTGCAGGAATTCCATGCACAGGCACTGTGCTCATATCTTATTTATATTATAAAACACAGACTAAAATAGAAAGCTAGAAAAGATAAAAATGAAAAGCATCTATTTTTAAAAGGTTTTATTTACTTACTGAACAAGACTCTTTGTTCTTACTAAACAATTATGTATTTTAAAATAAAAGCACTGTAATTAAATGTATGCTATCAATTGTCAAGCTTTTTCTTTAAAAGTTTGTAAGATACTGATGTTAATGTCTGGTTCAGCTTAATTTATTTCAGCATTTAGAATGTCAGTTATACTGTTTGAGAAAGATATGCCAAAACGTATGTGGATCCAAAGGGAAGAAAGGTAGCTGTTCTGAACTTATAGTTTTGTTCCCTAATCACTAATATTTTGGGTTGAAATTCATTTTCCCTGATCTCAATCAGTTAATCCTGCAAAGTAATCAGCTGCATTTTTATGTATTAGCAAACAGGTTCAAAACCAATGAAACTCTTCATGAGGAAGATTGGAATTAGCTAAAAGTTGTTTCATAAAATATAATCATAAAAAGCATTCAATTTTGAAGGCAGAAAGAGAGGTAAAGGGAACAAAGGAGAGATGGAACAAACAGAAAAGAAATAAGATGGTGCATATACACGTAAACATAAAATGGGCCTGGTCTAAAAATGCCAATTAAAAGGCGAAGATTGTCAGATTGTCAGAATAAAAAAGCACCTAACTAATGCTGTTTATGAGAATCCTACTGTAAATATGAAGACACAAACAGAGTAAAAGTGAAAGGATGGAAGAGACACACCATTTAACACCAGTCAAAAGAAAGTTAGCGTGTTTGTATTAACATCAGACAAAGTAGATTTCAGAGCAAAGACTATGACTGGGGATAAAGAAAGTCATTTCAAATGATAAAAGGGTGAGTTCCTCAAGAGAAAATAGTAGTCCTAAATGAATACGGTCAGTGGATTTTCAATCAGGATGTAGAGGCAAGACAGTGAGAAAGGAGAGTCTAAGCCACAAATGGTGACGGAACAACCGGACACTCATTTGTGAAATAAACCAATAAACAAATTCTGACCCTTCCCTTGCACCATACACAAAAATTTACTCAAAATGGATCATAGACCTAGACGTAAAACCTAAAACTATAAAACTTCTTGAAGTTTTTCTCAAACACAGGATAAAATCTTTGTGAGCTTAGGTTAGGCAAATATTTCTTTGGTAAAAGGCTGACAGCAGCATCATAAAAGGAAGAACTGATGAACTGGACTTCTTCAGAGTGAAAAACTACTCTTAGAAAGAAACTGCTTAAAAGAACTTTAAGCAAGACAGCCAAACACTGGGAGCAAATGTTTACAAGTAACCCACCCGATAAGTGACTTGAATCTAGAATATATAAAGAACTACCAAAAAGCAATAATAAGAAAATAATCACAAACAAAAGATGGGCAAACAAGTTGAGAAGACACTTCATGGAAAAAGGCATAGAGATGGCAAATGTGGAGGAAAGGGGACATGTACAATGATGCTGGGATGTTCGAGGGTACAACCATTTCTGAAAACACTTTGGCAGTTTCCTCAACAGTAAATACTCTCCTATATTATGACCCAACCGCTCCACATCTAGATATTGACTCAAGAGAAATGAAAACATGTCTATACACAGACTTGTGCACCTATGTTCACCATGGCTTTACTTGTAAAAGCCAAAAACTAGAAATAGCTCGAATGTCCATGAACAGGTGACAAAATAAACAGTTTACAGTCTGTCCATACAATGGAATACTACTCAGTAATAAAAAAGAATGAACTATTTATACATGTGACACCACAGATGAATCTCAAAATAATTATGCTGCGTGAAAGAAGAGAGACGAAAAGGAATACAGATTTTATGATTCCATTTGTGTAAAATAATTCTAGAAAATGCAAAGTAATTTACAGTGACAGAAAACAGATCAGTGGTTACCTCATTGTGGCGGGACAAAGATGCAGAGGGGTAAGAGGGAGGATTATAAAGGATCGACAGAAACTTGTGGGGGTGTGGATACATCCATTATCTTGACTGTAGTGATGTTTTCACGGGGGAGGGGTATAAACACTTGTCTAACTGTGCACTCCACAAACATCTGCAGTTTACTGGATATTGATAAACCTCAGCAAAGCTAGTTAAAAATTTCGGCTCCCAGTCTTTAAAGGCATGTGATAATTTGTATGAATGACACATACATATGACAGCAAAAAAGTCACAGGACAATGAAAATACTTGCAAACATCTGTTTTCAAAGTGCTCTCTTCACAGCATGAGTTTATTTGGAAAAGCCTTTATTTTCTTATTCAGTGTTAACATCACTCGCAATCTGAAAGTTCAGATTAAACGTTGTTTATTTCTTTGCATATATCTGCTTAGGAACAAAATATTGACTGCCTTTGCCACCAGAAACGCTCAGCCAATTTGGCATATTTATCATTCTGTGAAAGACGCATGTGTAAATAATCTACAAATTCAGCCATTCTTCCAAGTACTTTGCCACAAGCAGCAAATCTTCGGGTAGCAAAATGGAAGTGAATGTACACTTCGGCGCTGTCTTCGTAATTGTGAATTGTTTTGGGCAAGTGTTAATAATCCCCCCTCCTAACACAGACAAGGAAGAGCCTGGATCAGGTTTGAAAGCGTAAGCTGGACACCACTGTCACCTTTTCCCGATTGTGGAAGGTCCACTCTGTCACAGGCGACTGCATCCTGGACAAGACATGGCCACATGACGCATGAACTTGAGTAAACCTCCATCTATGTACGCACAATCAAGAAAAGGTAGTTTCTTTAATAGCATTTACCTAAAAACACATCTAGATGGAAGTTCTCACATTTTCCTCCTACACCTCAATGGGACGTCACTTGCCTTCCATTTAAGACGATAGTGTAGATTCTGGGAGGAGGGTGAAGACTCTACAGGATTAATTCACTATTACTGTAATTCGGTACTACCCATAATTCAATGGGAAAGTTGCTAGTAAAAGTAACTACATTAAGCAGCAAAATAATATTGCCATTATAATCATTAATACTACTGAGCACTTATCATGTGGCAGGCAGCATACTAAGTCCTTTGACGGCACTTTTTCACGTTATTCTCACAAAAATGCTGTAAAGTAGTTATTCCTTTTACCATCATTTCACAGGCTTATGACCTCAAATTATAATGAACTTTATTTCTATTTATAAGCTTATATTTATAAATGTATAATGTTTGCAAATATAAAAATTTCTTAATTTAAAATTTTATTTTTATTATTTTGTAATTAGTGTAGGTAACCCATGCATATTAACTTTACTGTAAAAAATAATTAGTTTTGGCAAATTTTATAGATATTTTAGTTAAAAAAATAAATGACTTTCAATGTGAATAGTAGAAAATAATATAATGTAGAATTATTAGTAAATGATTTCACCTTATTCATCATACTGCAATTATTAATGAAGGTAGAAAACTGTGCTGTCTTTTTAAGTTGACTTTGCATAAACTAATTGTCTATGATAACTGAGTAATTAATCTGGGACTCATTGTCCAGGAAGACACTCCTATGGGAGGCACTGCTATTTATTTTGATGGCACACCAATCTTAGGCACTAGGAATAGACAAGGCACAGAAGACAGAAGAAAGATGACCTGGAAACAGGAGTGTAACACAGCGTATTTCTACCACGTGGTGAGGGAAACCAACCATTCATAATTTCATAAAACGGCATCCCTACTTCTTGGCATACAAGAACATTTAGTTGGTGATACTTTGGAATGTTTTTTTGTGGCCTATTTCTACAATCATCCTCACTACATTTAGAACTCATGGTGTTTAGCAAACACTCTGATATAATTAATGTTCACAGTAGGCCTGGAGTCACTTCAAGGGAAAGCGATTAAGAACAGACTCTGGGTCATCTGCCTGGGTTGACTCTTCTCACCAGCATTTACTAACAGTATATATTCAGGAACATTACTTAATTCTCAGTGTTGCAGGTCCCCTAAAATTGTTTATTTTGGTGAACTATTCTTTCTTTCTTTCTTTTTTTTTTTTTTTGCTGAGGAAGATTGGCCCTGAGCTAACATCCGTGTCCATCTTCCTCTATTTTACGTGGGATGCCTGCCACAGCACGGCTTGACAAGTGGTGTGTAGGTCTGCACCTGGGATCCGAACCGGCGAACTCCAGGCCACCAAAGTGGAATGTGCAAATTTAACTGCTGTGCCATAGGCTGGCCCCTGGCAAACTATTCTTGCATGGTAGTGGTTTGCTGTACTGTCTTATAGGAGCCAATTACACACATCATTTCCCATTCAGAATCCAGTAGCTGACCTGGGAGCTTGAAATTGCCCATGATGGGAGTGT